GAACACCAGTGACGACTATATACCAGCATGGCTTCTGGTCGACTCAGCTTACAATGAGTACCTGGTGCGGTGCGTAAACATCGCCACTGGGGAGACAAAAGCGGCCGGGCGTGGTGCTGGCCACTCACCCCTTCGTACGTCGCGTCGGCCTTCACAAGTGCTCGTTAACAGCACTTGTTCCTACAGCCTGTCAAAGCTACACTGGTGATCTTTGTCTTTACTGTGAACCCAAAGTGAAACTCTGCTCTTGCCTGGTTACTTGTTGATGGTTGGCTACGCACGGTGCGAAAGAAGTTCAACTTGCTGCTGGGTGAAGGTCTCCCCATGAGCATTGCTTGACCACGCTCTACCACATTGATCAGCGCGGGTTGACGAATGGGGGTTGCCCAGGGTAGGTTCAGATACAACTCGTCATTGATGTTGGTCGTGCTCGGGAACCGAACTCATGTTGCCCGGTTCATAGCACAGTGCGCCAACTATTGCGCCACCGCTCCCCCACAAATACATTTTGATATTTGGCTAAAATAATCCGGCTGAGAAAGGCGCCTCATTCCTCCAGCCCAGACCCCACGACCCCATCGCTACCCAACTCATCGCGTGCACCAATCTTCTCGCCCACACTCCGTCCACGTGCGCTCCGATCTATAATACACATCGGTGTCTTATCCCAGCCCTATCGCGAGAGCCTGTCGATTGGCAGAGGGGTGGGGATAATGGGGGAAGCGGGGGGTGCGGGGGGGGGGTCAGGGAGAGTCAAGGATCCCACGGGACCCAAGTTGAGTCCGGCTGAGATGCGGCGCGGCCAGGGACTCCCGTCGGTGGCGGCGCGATCGATGTGGGCCGACGGGCGCGTGCCGGCGTCTCTCGCCCCTCCTTTCTCATTGCCATCGATCCAGAGGCGAGTGCTCCCGGGCCCTCATCACCACCTCCCTGCACCCTCAGCCTCAGCAGCAGCAGCAGCAGCTAGAGCAGCACAATCACCAGCAGCAGCTACGTCATCATCATCATCATCATCACAAAAACAAAGATCCCCGTGTAGCCTTAACAGACTGTTGGGGCAAGTGCTGTCCGCGAGTAGCACCTATGAAGGCTGGCACGGCACACGAGGGGGTGGGTGGTCAGCACCATGCCCGGCCCCCTTTGTTTCCCTAGCCACGTTGTTTACACATCGCATCGGGTACTTGTTTGAGACTGAGTCGACTTAGTGGAGGCCCAGGACCTGCCTATTGTTCGGCGGCGCGTTACTAGTGGACATGATTAGATTGCCATTACACGGAGAGCCGGATTTATGAAAGAAACGTATTGTCTGCTTATCTACTGTGTTACTCATGTTGCCCCCAACGACGCTGATGACTGCGTTGCGTCACACACACACACATGGCGATTATCTCCTCATACGCGTGGGATTCGTCCAGAAGAAAAGGAAATTGGCCAAACGTCGGAAGCAGGACCCTCTCGCAAACCCAGCCTTGAGACTCGCCGGGGCTTCCATCGGCGAAGGACGAGTCTTACTTTTGAGCCACAAACATTTTTAAAGAGGATGTCCAAATATTATCAGCAGAGTTTAGTTCTGAATTCAGAAAGTGTGTGTGTATGTGCGCTCTCTCCCATTCCCCCTCTCGTTCGCTCTCCCGATCGTGCTCTGGGACCCATTGATTGGTTTTCACCTCTCGAATGCCGTCGGCACAAGCGCAATAATTAAAAGATAAAACGGCACGTGGTTTGTATTTCTCGCGTGGCCAGTGGGCACGCGAAACTGGATGGGCGCCCATTGCCCACAACGCTGACGAATGATGACGATGTATGAATGTGTGTTGAACTTATTTCGCACCTTATGTAGCTAACCGTGCTAATGGCTGATGTGCCCGTGTAGGTGTGCATCTCAAGTCACGTCTACGTGAGGAAAACCACTCTTATAATTATTCATGTTGTTTATTTATGATGTTGTTTATTTATCCACGCAAGTTGCATTGGGGACGTTTAGCAAATTCAGGAGTGGATTTCTACGGGAGGCAATAGCATTGTCCTAGGAAACCCCCCATGCCTACCTCGTACAGATGGATTCAAGAATCCATTACTCTGACTGCCATCTCCTGATCACCTGGCAGCCCAAGCCTACGCTACCTGGAACTCCCAAGGCAGACTTCCATCCAAGCGCTAACGAGGCTCAGCTCTGCTTACCTTGAGAGGTCTTCCGTGATCGCTGCGCACCTTGGCAGGAGGTGGCACGACAGGTCGTGATGCACAACACCGGTGGACATTTACATTCGAACGTGGTGTGGGCTTCCCCTAGGTCGACTCAGCCGAAGGGTGTCGGTTGATTGGGCGAGTGCAGAAGTGGGAACAGCACCGAGCAAAGGATGCGAGAGAATATTAATTGGTTCGTGGTGAGTGCGTGCGGTGAGCTGGTGGGTGGGTAGGAGGTGTGAGTTCGCGGTGACGGGGACGAGTGTGGTGAGCCTGCGAGGTCAAGGGAGCTGTGGAGTTGGGGAGGGAAAGGAGCCTTTGGGGGCGAGCGGGAGAATCCGTGGCGGGCGCAGCGGTGAAGGTCGCGCAGCGATGTGAGACGGAGCGGCGAGCGAGCTGTGCAGGGTGCTCTCAGTCAGCTCAGTGAGCTCAGTGAGCGCACAGCAACCGGGGTCTATCCCGTGACCTCCTGCCAGCAGCGAACATTTCACACTTCACGTGACTGCCTGAACGTGTATCTAAAAATGTGTCTAGCCTGGCACAAGCGCTGTGGTCACGTCAACGTCATTCAATGATGGATGGTGTACAGAGTGGTGTGTGTAGGGTGGGGTGTACAGGGTGGGGTGTGTAGGGTGGGGTGTACAGAGTGGTGTGTGTAGGGTGGGGTGTACAGAGTGGTGTGTAAGGTGGGGTGTACATAGTGGTGTGTACAGGGTGGTGTGTGTAGGGTGGGGTGTGTAGGGTGGTGTGTGTAGGGTGGGGTGTACAGAGTGGTGTGTGTAGGGTGTATAGTGTGGTGTGTAGGGTGGGGTGGACAGAGTGGTGTGTAGGGTGGGGTGTATGGAGTGGTGTGTGTAGGGTGGCGTACAGGGTGGGGTGTACAGGGTGGGGTGTACAGAGTTGGGTGTAGTGTGGTGTGTGCAGGGTGGGTGTATAGTCTCATAATTCAGGTTTCAATCACCCGTGATCACTTTGGGTTCTCGGGTGCAGTGCGTTCAAGGTCTTAGCTTGGTCACTAATGACTGCAAAATAAATACAGTACTGTATCTTCATCATCATCCTCTTGATATGGCACGAGTGAATCATCATTATCCTTATCCAATACATATTTAATTGTATTTGTAGGGTTTATAAATGCATCATAATCATCTTGGAGCATCATTATCGTCGCCGTCCATAATGTGATGCGACACCAGCCAATCATCATCATCATTCCATCTTCATGGCACACATGCAGCAGCATCGTCGTGATGTGGCACCAGCAAATCATCATTAGCAGCAGCAGCACAAGGAGCGTTTAACTCACAACTCACGAGAACACCGAGAATCACCTCAAATTTGTTTTATATAAACCATGCGCAGTGTTTACAGTCACAATAGCAAATTCTTGTTTCCCGAAAGCGCCTGGCGTAGGCAATGTTCACAAAATAAAAATCATCATCTGCGCCGGGGCCGTCGTTCCCCAAAGTGGCCCACGGGCAGGAGGCCCACGAGCCCCGGGAGCCCTCGGCAGCGCCGCGGCCACAGACGCCGCCCGAGGGGGAAGCGCGGCGCTCGGGGCCGGCAGGCGGCAGGCGGCAGGCGACGGAGACGGAGACGAAGACGGCTTCGCGAGGGAGACGCGGATCCAAATCGAGCGCCGGAACGCGGCGCTGCGCACAAAGGAGGCTCCGCGCTCCGTGACCCGTGGCCTGACGCGCAGCGCGGCCGACGACACAAACTCCACTCGCCGGATGGCGAACCCGGCAGCGAACACGGACTGGGAGCGGAGAACCACCAAACATTGAGATATTGAACCGAACGTTTAGAGATTGAACCAAACATTTCAACGGCGCTGGGCGAGGACGTGGGGGTTGGGGTCAGTGGGATATGCTGGCTCGTTGGCTCGGGGCGAGGAGGAGCAGAGCTCCACTCATGTTGGGTTGACTCAGCGGCTGTGGTCAAGGGTCGGGCTGACGAGTTGGGCTGGGGTAGGTGTGGAGCTCCTTCTCGTGGGTGACTCGCGGCTACCGCTAGGGGTTGGTTGGCTCACGTGTGACTCTGCAATGTGCGGTGGGGTCCCGTCAGGCTTTGCCGCCTCACGCGTCCTGTGCTCGCAGCGTCACCGAGTCTCTCAATAATCAATGAAGTGCACGCGGCACGAGCCGGCGTGTCCACGTGGCAGTGAGGCAGCCATCTGTGCTGATGAGTTTCTAGAGATGGGAACCCAGGCGGTGGTGGTGCAACACGTGGGGCAGTTAACGCACAACATCTGGGTCTATCCTCCGAGCCTTCACCGTTCATGTGGCCTCAAAGTGCACCTAGCCTGGCACAAGCGTCACTGCCAGTGGTGATATCAGCTGTTGGGTTGGGATGATGTTACCAAGTTGTAATAATGAACGGGATATCGCAGTCAAATAATATTGATGTAATGTATTCGTCGAGAAAGTCTCATTTAGCATCATGACGTTCTTTAATCGGAGGATAATATGCGGATATTTGACCAATGTGTTGTTCAAGTGTGCTGTACGTACTAACAACACGACGTTTTTCAACGCGTAGGTTTCGCAGCCAACGTTATGATTTGATTCGGATCGTTGGGCGAGGGAGGCGACGGGGTGCCTAGGGGCCTGGCCAAGTTTTTGTTCAAACAACGAAATGTTTCTCTTCGGATGTGAAACGGCGTGCTGCGTGCTTACCAGCCGGGCCCGCGCACAGCTCTCTCCGTCTCTCTCTCGGAACCGAACTGAAATGATTTCTGTCCATGTACGGCGCATGCCACGGCTGAGCGTGGAGCCGCGTTCTCAACGATGGCCCACACACACACACAGATGTAAACAAATGTACGTTTGGTTTTAATGTCACAAATAAATAGGTAACACAGTTTGGCACTACAGTGGAGAATGATGACAGCAGGAAGCTTGGTGGACAATCGAGTTGCAGGGCGGCGAGCAAAGTCTCTTTGGCAAGTGAGGCGCGGCGCTGCTGCTGCTGCTACTGCGACCCGTGCCAGCCCATGGCAGCACGCTGGCGAGCAGGGCGACGTCGCGATTCCGCCGTGCCCAGTGCAGTAGTACGACTTGTGCACGGCCTGCCCACCACCTTGCTGGAGGTGTTCACACACCAGACATGTTTGCATATCCGCAAACATGTCTGTGTGAGTCAAACATACGACGTTCTAATGAGCCAATGGTGGAGATTCCACATTCCCATGACAGGACATGTCTTTACATAGGATGACCACTGTTGGCCTTTCACGAAGTGGTCCTCGCTTCATAGTCCAATACCCTTCATCACGAGGGGGTTTAGGGTAAAATGAAGTGTTCAGGCTAAGGGTTAGGTCAAGGAGTATGCATTAGGGATTGTGGTAGGAGCACAGAGGGTAGGGTAAGGGGCATAAGCCTATAGGGTTAATGAGGCGATTGAGTTAATGAGATTATAGGATTCATGAGAAAGGTTGTTGTCAAGGCGAGGGCTAGGGATTGGTTTAGGATGAAGGTGGCCATTATGGATTGGGCTACGGTGAGGTGCTGGGCTCGGGTTATGGACAGGGTGAGACGAGAGCCAAGGCGTGGGTTGGGTTGGAGCTGGGACTATGGGCGAGGCGTTGGGCTGGGGTCAGGGGGCGACATGGGGGTTTGGGTTAAAAGTGAAGAAGAAATCCGGGAGATTGGTTCAAAATGGAATCCATGTGGCCAAAGAACAAACACTTCTCTACAGTGTCGCATCGCAACTCCGCCTCCTTTCCTTTAAACTCGTTCACAGCCACGAATACAAAAGTCACGAAAAGCTTCGGACCTAACGATGCAACCATCACTTTCCGTCTACTTCTTAACCCTAAACAAAAGCTGGCTGCGAACGAACAAAACTAACACAATGTGATAAAATAAAACACAAACTCAAAGTCTGTTCTACTGCCAAAGTACAATATGAATCCATAAACCTTCAGTGCAATTAAAACACTCCCCCTCCCCCCTGAGTACGTTTTATGTGGAGATGGAGCGAACAAATTGGCTTGTGCAGGCGCAACATCAATTGTTGCTTCGCAAGACCATGACAGATGTTTGCGGCTTGGGGAGACCTTCATCCAGCAGTGGAGAGATCGTGACCGCCACTGATGCTATTGATCATATATTACTATATTGATCATATCGTCCTTCTGGATCAACATTGTTGCTGGACTGCAATGAATGGCTCCATGGTGCCCGTGGAGAGATCTTGCCTACAGCACGAGGCAGCCCAGCAGCGTTTGAAAAGCAGTCTACACCCTGTCGATAACACTCGGAAAATCAAAACTTCTTCCAGGCTTTGCCTTGTAAAACACTGTCATGCACCATATCCATTGTGGCACACTGCTCGGGCGCGTATGACTGCTGCGGAATTCTAATTTTTTTAACATTTGCAACAAATTTCAGGGATTCAGTGTCTCCTAAAAGCACATTAAGCCAACCATTACTGTTTTGCTGTTACCACTTCGTGCGTTAGTGGGACACGAGTTGCTGAGCAGAAAGCCTCTCCAGCTGTAGGTATTTACATCATCAGTCGTGGGCAATCCACTGCTGGATGAAGGCCTCCCGAAGCCCCCCACCACCTCCCTCGACCCCGTGGTGTAACAATGCCCCCAGCGCGTGCACGTGGCCCGATCTCGTCGCTCCATCTCTGCCGTGGACGTCCTCGAGGACACATCCCATTTCTTGGCTGCCACTCCACCTAATATTATTCGTGATTGACATGAACATTATTTTTGAAGTGATTGAAGCAGACGTTAAGCATTATTTATTTACCCTACATTGCCCACAATTTTCCGAGAGAGTACATGACGGTGTTGTACGACTGCGTGTTGACTGCGTGTTGGTGCTTTGTCTCGCGAGTGCGTTACGCGTGCTGCGTTGCTGTACAGAAGCCGCTATGTACAAGGCGGTCGGATAAACCACTACGCGCAAAACAACATCGCTGACCGTTATCGACACAACATATGCTCAAAGCAATCATAACAAGACTGCAATAACAACACGAACTCGACTCGTGTCACACGTGCAACGGAATGAAGCCAGGATTGAGACGTGACTGAAGGCACACTCACGCCCACTCACATCGTGCAACTAAAGCCTCAATAGCCACCACTGTTGTTTGCGAACTCCTATTATGGTCAGGGGGTCTACGAGGTGGTGGAATTGACAAATGCCCAACACGTTTGTTACCCTCAACTCAAATCTGTTCACTTGCACACGGCTTGGTGAAAGTGACTGAAATTCAATCTTGACTTAAAGCTTTCGTTTAACACGTAGGCTTTCGCGACCAATGTTATTCATAATCAACGATTTTTGGGTTTAGATCGCGTTTATTTATAAATGTGTCGTAACCCTCCACCACCCGACACGGCCAATCAGTAAAAAATGTGTCACGTTGACAAAGACAAATAGTTCACTGCTTTAACCCACCGGTGTGTTGAAGCAACAACATTCACAATTTGAGTACGACGTTTCGCTGGTATATACAACCAGCATCATCGGGCAATTCGCCAGAATGGTGAGGCTCTCCTGTGTCTCCCGTTCTTATATAGAGCAGCAGCAGGATGACGTCATCATTAACTCATCAGGTGCAAAGATTCAAGGGGGGAGTGATTGTAATTATATACTAGATCAAGAGGGGGATGCTGCTGAAGGCATGAGACTGTTAAAGGGTTAACATGGGTGCAGCCCAAGGGCCATCGACGGCATAGGCGGGGCTAGCGATGTTAGTGGGAGAGATGAGCGTGTTAATGTGAGAGATGAGCGTGTTAATGGGAGAGATGAGCGTGTTAATGGGAGATATGAGCGTGTTAGTCAGAGAGATGAGCGTGTTAGTGAGAGAGATGAGCGTGTTAGTGTGAGAGATGCGCATGTTCATGTGAGAGATGAGCGTGTTAGTGTGAGAGATGAGCGTGTTAATGGGAGAGATGCGCATGTTCATGTGAGAGATGAGCGTGTTAATGTGAGAGATGAGCGTGTTAGTGTGAGAGATGTTAGTGGGAGAGAGATGCGCGTGTTAATGTGAGAGATGCGCGTGTTAATGTGAAAGATGAGCATGTTAATGTGAGAGATTAGCATGTTAATGTGAGAGATGAGCATGTTAATGTGAGAGATTAGCATGTTAATGTGAAAGATGAGCATGTTAATGTGAGAGATGCGCATGTTAATGGAAGATCGCAGAGCCGCTGCCACGTCGAGGTCGGCGCGTGGAGGTGGCTGTGTTGGTGTGAAAATGTGTTTTTTTTTTTACCTGTAAATGTAAAATCGGAGAGCCGAAGCCACGGGGAAAATAAAAACTAACATCGGAAGGTGTCAGGATGAGAACATCACAGCCAGTGGTGATGATGATGACATGCCAAGGTATAATGGTGTTTTAAATTTGTGGCAGAAAATAACAGTTGCGTTGTGGATACTGTAAACAGATAATTATAATAACACGAGAGGTGTGAGTGGATGGGTGGTATGCTGTGAGGCGTGTGTGTGGACGGTATGTGTGGATGGGTGCTATTCCGAAAAATCAGAGAGTCTGATGAATACTTTTGGTCCATTCCTCGTATACCCCCGGCAGCTGCGGCGGGGGGGAGGGGGGGCTCGTGCACCCTAATTAACAGCAGACCCCCAGTGGACCCCAGTGAACCCCCATTCAGAGGTAACTTCGTGGCATTGCTGGGGAGTCGCCGAGGTTCTAGTTAAAGGGGTCGTCGTTGATATCAACGCCACCTACGCCACCACACGTCGCCATCGCTTCCTCCTCTCTGCCAGACACAGCCTCGTGGGCACGGCCGACGCGTGACCCCGAGGTCTGCTCTCAGCCTCGTCCCCGTCTTGGGGGGTGCCCCTCTTGTGTGTCCCCCCGTTCACTTCAATTCGACCGTTGCCGCGTTCCTGGTGGCCGCTGGAGCCGCCTTGGTCCCTGCTCCTCGTCACCTCCGGCTCCTGTGCTTCCTTCCCTCGGGCTGTAGAGGCCCGCAGGGAATTGCGCTCCCGGGGCCTCCGTCAAGTTTGAATGGCAGAATGATCCGCTTCGCTTGGGCTCGACCGCTCGATTCCCCGTAATTACTGCGGCGCGGTTCTCAGCTGAATCACGTGCGTCGTCTGACGATAAACTGGATGCCGAAGACCCGTGGCAGCGTTCACAACTGCCGATCACCGTGCGCCAAGCGACGGCTAAAGCCACATGCGAGAATTAGGTGTAAACAGCTACAACTCTCCCACGCCATCACCGTGCAGCAAGCCCCACAATGCAACAGCAAGACTCGCACTTGGGAATTAGACTGCAGCCTGTGTCCGTCTGACACACGCCGCCTTCGTGATAGCCGTGCGCTTAAGGAATGTTGCGTCCACCAACATGAACTCATGATCTGATGGGTACATTTTGTCTGAGGGATACACTCTTTGAGCTAACGTCAGGTCAAGAGGTCATCACGGACAATACCGTTGATTCCACAATGTCTCGCATCGCTTCCTTCCCCATGCCGGAGCCACAGCACTGCTGCTGCCGCTGCCGCTGCTGCTGCTGCCGCTGCTGCTGCTGTACGCGGGGTCTCGCTATCGAGGCCGCTTTTGGTTCCCAAGCCGGAGACTGAGCATCGCAGCTCTCCGATGTGGTTTTCGAGTGGTTCCCCGTATTGTTCGGCATTGTGTCCGACGTTTAGATGCATGTGCTGGGAGCTTATTTAGGAAGTGAACCGAACTGAATAAAATGAGCTTCCAGCACGTGGAGCGAAACGTCGGATATCGTGCCGAACAACACGCGGCACGACCTGAAAACCCGTAGGAGATCTTCGCGGCAGAACCGGAACACAGCGTGCGCGATAATAGCGACTCTCGTCCCGTCCGCAGACAACCGAGGCCGTGCGGACCGGCCTGGGATGGACGAGCGGATTGTACGGTGTGCGAGGTGGTCAGCTGTGAGCTGCGAACACCAAGACACCGTCACGCCCGTGCTTAGGCCCGTGCTTAGGCCCATGCGGCGAGTGCTGTGCGGGGCTGCACGCAGCTCAGCCCCGCCACTCCTTCCCGTCCGACGCTGTGCAAAGCGCCACCTCCCGTGTCGGGCCATTCTGTTGAAGAAGATCTTTGCCGACAGTAATTGACCATTTACATCGGCCATTAAATGCATCTCCAATTATCGCGGTTAGGTTATGTACGGTGCGAAAGAAGTTCAACATACATACGTACGATCAATGCGCCGATGTAGATGGGCGCACGTTTAATTAAAAGAGAGAGCGCCAATTTGCGACTGGCGCTGGGCCCGGCGTGATGGCGCCACTCGGCACCGATCGTGGCGCAGATTCCTGAGCCCCATGATGGGCACGCCTCCTCGCGTTGCGCACTCCTTCGTTTGCGTTTCTAATTTATGCGTTTTAATATATGAACATAACAAATGTAATACTGCACCATTCGCAAATGGAACTGGTCCGAGATTCCTGCTTTAAAAAAATGGTCGAACATTTAAAAAACGCAACGCAACCTTCTCGGTCTAATGTTCCAAATGACAGATGTATTATACACAGGGCCTGGCTTAACTAGTGAAGGTCTGCCCTTCGCTGTCACGGCCAACAAAACTAAAGCACAGCTCATCGTATAAGCTGTCAAGTGACAGCCCGACCGTGACCTCAACCCTCACGCCAATCAAGCCTTCCTCATCGACCCACCGCTTAGCCGCGTCGCTCGCTGAAGCCAGTCGTGTTTACCCTCGACTCCGCTGTGCGGTAAACCGCAAGCGTGGATTCTCGGGGCCCTGCAGGCACGGCAAATAACACGAGGGCGGAGCTCAACAATGTTGACCTTCTTGGTCCGGTCGTGAAAAATTCTACGTCACCGTGGCAGAGGCCAGTCAAGGAATGGTAGACTTAATTCACGATGGGCTTAATCCCAGACGAGATGCGTTACCCATAAACCCAATCACCCCACGAGTCACCATCTCACTCCCACGGAGAAAGAGCACGATGTGGAGATGGCAGTGCGGGCGGGGAGGGGACGGTTGCGGCTGAGGGGGGAGGGAGAGCTGAGATTCATGGCGGACGTGAAGCATCCACTAAGATATTGTCTGGCAGTGTGTACAATTTATAATCATTACGACCTGATCGAATCCATCAGGCTCCTTCTCAATCTCATTCAGGCCTCATCGTTTCATTTAAAAAGCTGCTTGTGCGATGAAAAATAGTTTTTTTACTTTTAGCCTCAGCTCTCCGCGTCTCTCTCTCTCTCGCTATATTTTACTATTTATATACAAGACCGAGTGGGCCACGAGTAGAAGTGAAATGAATTGCGGTGGCACAAGACCGGCATGGGCTGTCAGGTCGCCGTCAATGGAACTTCAACCGGCAGCGCAGAGAAAAGGGGCCGTCTGCAGTTTAACACGCACGCACCACACATGCACCACGCGGCGTCGGACATCCATTTTAAGATGTTAAGCAGCTTGTTGTTGTTGACAAGGTACCACTACGCCACGTCACTCCCCACCAGGCAGCCAGCTGGTGAGTGTCAAGTAGCCACGTGGGGCCCATGCCGAGTAGCCAGGGAGGAGGTGGGGGCCATGAGGGTGATTGAGGTGGGGGGCCAGGTACCCCCACTGCCCCCTGTGTTCCCGTGCCCGCAATGATGAGTGATGAGCGCTCTCGGCCGAGGGCATCCGTGGCCATTCACTCCCGGTGTGGACGCAGCCGGAACCACAAGCGGAGCCGTGAAGTGCCAAGGGAAACAACGGTCCCGTGTGCTCTACGCCAAATCTTACCACGCCGCCCCGAGTGTCTGGACACTAGAGCCAGGCAACATTGACCGAGGCCGTTTCCAACGATGTTGACTTGCGTCACCTCGACGTTTAAATGTCCCCAGCCTTGACCTAGCACTCAGCTGATTCCCGGATCATTGTCGGCCAGAGCAGTGATCGGCTTCGGCTCAGGCCATCGGCAGAACAAGGCCTCCTATCATCACGGTGGACCCTGCACCCCGTGACTGCCCATGACCCTCCCCCGAAGGTGCGTGGAAGACACACGCACACACACACGACATACACACAAACACACACGCACACAGTATTAGCGTTGGGCAACATACGCGACCGTACGGCGCAACACTGACGTCCTTCATGGTTGTCCTGTACGCACGATGCGGACGCCGGTAGCGGCGCAGTTTGGTCTTGCCCGCTGTGCGAGTGGGAACGCCGCGTTCACTGTGCGTGCGGCGCCGTCCCGCGGGCCACGTGCCCACGTCGAGTGACGCGGGGATCTTTACGACGGGAACTGCCCCAGGAACTCTGCCGCTGCATAGTAGCAGAATCTGTACTGATCCTGGACACAGCAGCAGCAACAGCAGCAGCGATTGTGGCAGGAGCAACAGCAACGGCAACAGCAGCGATATTGTCACTCAACAGCTCCGATAGTTAATGACCAATTATTCAGTAGTTTTACACGTAGGCTTTTGTAGACAATATCATACATAATAGAGGTCTTTTGGGTTAGATTGCGTAAATTTACGCGTAAATTTACGCGATTTAACCCAAAAGACCTCTAATATGGAGTTCACTTGCTGTCAGGCGCGGTTCGTCCACTAGGGGCGTTGGGGCGCTGCCCTACCAAGCAGCTGGAGATGAGAAATGCTTTTTATCATAATAAAAACAACTTTTCTATACGTTGTTTTGTTGTGTTTAAAAGTTTTAAATCTAATGATTCTTTCAACGTGAATTGCCTAATGAGGATAACATTTTAAGTTGTTCACATTAGAAACCGCTGCAACTCCACAGTCCAACTTGTGCCTCGTGGAGGTGTCGGGGCGGCTGTGAAGGCGTCCTCCGAGCGAGAGATTCCCCTTGAGTCACAGCAAGTGCAGCAGCAGCTCATGACCGCAACGCTACGCTCGAGGTTTTTGGCAATGTCAAAGGGGTTGTGTAGTGTGGACTTGAGGGTCACGGGGACGGAATTTGAGTGCTTTGTTGTTTTATTTCGTATTGTTTATAAATGCCGACGGTTGGTAGATTAGACAGTTGTATCACTTTCACGCGAAGGCGAATAACATGGCGACATTTTCCTTAATTAAAACAACATATTCTCAGAGGTCACCCACAATAACCCCACCTAGTGGAGAGGTCACGAGCCGCCACTGCTTTCTGTACTCATTTATGGCAAATTAGCAGATGCACTTGTGGGCAGTGTAGCCACACCTTGTACACCAAGTGCGAATTTAATTGGCACGACATATTTATCCGGAATTCGCGGGTTCGTTGTTTGGCGGAGGCTTTCGTGACCAATATCATCCAAACCTATGTTATGAATTGTTTGGTAATTGATGACGCTACCCAGATAAAGCAGAAGCTCTCACAGATGCTGAGCTGCGAGTGCTCACGCGGTTTTAAGAAAAAATTCGACCATTTACAAAAATAGGTATCTTTTTCCAGACCAAATAAATAATAAAACACAATCAAAGCGCTAAACACATTAGCTCTACGAGCCAATAAACGTGCTTTTTCTGTAATGCAACTTAAAGTCTAAACTATTGTCAGTTTACAGCCCTCAGCAAGTGGTGGAAATTCCACACTCCTACGGCGGGGCAATTCTATCCATACTTCCTGCCTGGCGTAACTGTTGCGATGATCGCAAGACCTGCGGCGGACTTATTTTTATCCTGTCCGGCCGGGGCGCGAGGTGGCCCACGGGAACGGCGCGACGACGAACTCCGGATGGCGTCGCCAGGGAGCGTGCTGGGGGCCGAGCGCCGAGTGCCTCACCAGCGTCTCCACCATGTCGGGCTTGTTGTTGCGCAGCGTCTTGACGGCCGTGAACACGTCCACGACGCTCTGGCCCTTCACCATGTCACAGAGCACGCTCACGGCGCAGTACGTGCCGCTGCGGCCGCCCCCGCTCCTGCGGGGAGAGACACCAACGCTGCTCGTCGCGACTCTCGGACCCAGCGCGGGGGGGGGGGGGGGGGGGGGAGGACTTTCCGCCCGCCCTGCTCCGAGTGCAACGCAAGCACCACGGTGGCAACGGTAAGAACTCATGGTGAGTGCACGTCGTAGGAGTGATTGCTACATAGACTTGTTAAATACGTACGGTGAGAGCGCGTGGTAAGTATTCACGTTGAGTACATACTAAGTGCACACAATAAGTACACAGGGTAAGAACAAATACATGGTAAACACACCCGGTAAGTACACATGGAAAGAAGGAATACACGGAAAGTATCCTTGGTAAGAATGAAAGTACAGTGACTACACACACATGGTAAGCGTGAATACACAGTGAGTACGCACGGTGAGTATGCACGGTGAGAGTGGACTCGGCGTGAGTGCAGGCCGTGAGTGCGCATGGTCGGTGTGCGGCGGCATGTGCTGGCGGCACCCACAGACAGTGCACGAGCGTGCGGCCCTCTTCCTCGGCGAGCTCCGCGTGCCAGCGCCGCACGCGCCCCGCCACGCGCAGGAAGGAGAGCGGCGAGGCGGGCGCGTCGCGGTGCGACGGCCAGCCCAGGTACTGCAGGTGCTGCACTTCCCGGTGGCCGTCCTGGGGCTGGCGAGGAGCACGGCAGACGCGTTAGTGGCGTGCGCGCGTGTGCACGCGCGTGTGCGTGCTCATGTGTGTGGCTGTGTGCGTGTGTCCATTCGCCACCTCTCCCAGAGCGGTGCAACCCTTTCGTATTCGAGCATGGCCCATGGAAGTGAATATCATAGAGCTACCTCTGAGGTCCCTTGAAGTAATTGCTGGTCTACACATCTGTGGGCAGCACTCTCCTACCTGCTCGGCCACTGAGTGACATTCGACGCATGATGGTCAAGCCGATATTGTAATCCTCAAGAGGTGGAATGTAGCCAAGATAAGCGCAGATCCAAATGTTTGTGTGTAATCATCAGTAACTGGGCTGAGACCATCGTCTCACTGCACTTGAGAAGCCATCGTCGACGTGGTTCAAGGCTGGGGCACTGTCTGCAGTGGCAGCTCAGCGCTCTGATGAGAGATGAGCCCCCCCCCTCCCCCCACCAAGTCCACTCACCCCGCGCTGCCCGGCCTCCCCCGTGCTCATTCCCCATTCATGGTACAAACCAGCGGAGAGCAGCTCGTGAAAACCTCTGAGCTATCGGTCTCCCCGGCACCCAGGGACTCACACGGGGTAGTGACCTGTGAGCCCCTGCGAGCATCTGCACTGCTCTCTCCACGTGGCCTACTCCGCACGTGTGCACAGCTCGCCCAAATCCTCCAGCTTTGTGTTTTGTTTAAGAATAGGAAATTGAAATAACCTCGCTTCTGGGTTTAAAGATTTGCAATGGTGCCCCTTGAGAATCTCCGCTCAACTCGTGTGCAGTCAAAAGTTGATATCAATTGACGTCAGCTGTCGCTTTCATTGCCGTAAAGCACAAGGAGCCCGTGCCAATTACTCCGTCTTGGCAACTTCCCCCGCTGTAAATCGAGAAAAAAAATGTTGGCCGTTCCAACGCTCGCATCCCGTTTGAAAATTATGTTTTTTAAAAGCGAATAACGATTTTAAAAAGCACTGGTGATTATCGTTTAGTGAAGGGATTACACAATACCACGCCGCAAGGCTTTCGATGGAAGTGTTCTAAGGGCGATGGAAACATGTGGAGATGAAGGCGGCAGCCATCAAAGCTATCGTCAAATTACAAATTCATTGGGGGAGCGATTACAAGCATACGGAATAAGTCCGCATCGTGCCAAGCTACGCTCGCGGTCTGCTGGGCACCGCTCACTTTCCATGGATTATTCCGTCAACCATCGTGACCCTCGTGCAAACGACGGAGCTACGATCCAGCGGTTGATGGTGCTTTGGGTGGCAGATTCTTGCCAGAAAGGCACCAAGTGTCAACCAAAAATAAATTGATTTGACTTGCATCACGGAGAGTGTTGCCATGTGTGAGAGACACCCGCAAGTAGGTGCAGCGAGGGGCCAGGTTATCGCAGTACGGCGAGCAGGGGTCCCTAGGGGTGGGTTGAGAGCTGGGGAGGGAGGCAGAGCTTTGTACCATAACGATTTGTGTGGAATGTGTAGCGGGAAATATTTTTCAGTAATGGTGCTCGAAGATATTTATCGGACATGGTGCCTAACGACACGTGTCTCAACGCATCGGAGAGCTGTGCAGCACAACCGTCAAAAGCCACGCGGTGCCTATTTATTATTTATTTTCTCCGGGAAAATAGCTTTTTGTTGCAGTGAGGCCTGGCCTGGTTATAAATACAACTCATGCATTCTATACAATTAGGGTGGCTCCCAGGGGCTGTGGCAAGCCGGCCACAGCCACCGCAGAGTGAGGGAGACAGTCTACGAGCAGCTCCCCGTGTTACAGAATCCCGCTCGGTGCTGCGATTTCACCGGCTAGAGCTCTTCCACAACCATCAACCATTTCAAGAGCCTCAATTTATACCTTGCCTTGACCAATCATTAGCTTCCCTTTAGGGCTTCTGACCTAGTAAGTGCCCTCAGGTGACTTGGGCCACACGTGTCCACGCCTAAGTAAAAGCGGTTTCAGCGAGGCATTTTTTCCATGTTGTGTATTGTTGTGTGTGTCACTTCAAAACGATGCTGATGTTGCCCGTGCAACATTTCTCCTGCACACTATCAATTCCGTAGCCTGCGCCAAATGTCATCGCAATCAGGAAAGTCACAAGAAACCAATAATCTCGCCCCAAACGGGAAATTCGACGGCAATGAAACTAACCCGGGAGATGTTGTGGATGCGGAAGATGCGAGAGATGATGTCTCCATCACGACAGCACGACAGGGTCTCCACGTGTACCGCTCCATACTGTAGCGAGCCCTCCTCGGGCCAGTACTGTGGACATGTCTGCAGCAGCAAAAGAAGCACACGGACATGGAGACAGACACACGCGTACACACGCAGAGCCACTACTTACAGACTCTGGGACAAGCGCTCCGAGCGACTGCACACTCAGTCGATGTGATGAGAACCATTGCAAGACAAAGTGGGGTCACCTGTGTAGAGGGGATGAAGAGGGGCCTTAGAAATAGAGAGAGATGCACGGAAATAGACATAAAGGGAGATAAATACAGATAAAATTAGAGACTCACACAGAGACACGGAAGGGAAAGACGGAGGCAAAGAGAGAAACACAGAGAGAAACAAATACACGCCATTGGTATTTTTGTGAAGGGTCCGGCATTGGGATACAGAACCAAGGAACTTTTTTGAACGAGTATTTTTCATGAACAGGAAACCGGTATGCCGGGAGAAAACCCTCACATAACCCTCAAAAGGTCCACACAGAGGGGTTCACGAGCCTACAGAGAGATTCACGACCCCACAGACGGGTTCACGACCCCACAGACAGATTCACGACCCCACAGACGGGTTCACGACCCCACAGACGGGTTTACGACCCCACAGACGGGTTCACGACCCCACAGACGGGTTCACGACCCCACAGACGGGTTCACGACCCCACAGACGGGTTCACGACCCCACAGACGGGCTCACGACTCCACTGCCTTCTTTTGCCCACTTCACAGCACAGCGGGCTGGGGAGTTTTCACAAATCTGCGTGCGATCGACCAACCCATTTCTCTGTAAACATTGGCAGCAGGAGTGAGGTTAGGGTAGCGGAGGTGGTTTCGGGGTAGCAGAGGAGGCCTCGCACCTCAGACGGTCGCATCTCGTTGAGCATGATGACCGACGTGCAGTGGTAGTCGAAGACCAGCCTCCAAAAGTCCTTGACGGTGTTGGGCAGAGGATGCTGGGTCACGATGAAGGCCGACGGACGATGGTAGCTCTGTGAGTCAGAGAGAGAGATTCGATGAGAGAGGAGCGGCAGGAGAGTGTGGGACAGATGTGACCTCTTGGGGTCATTGGGAGCGAGCGATGTGAGTTGAGACCTCGTGACTCGTGGTCACGAAACGACGATTCACGAGTTGTAGATTACAGAACCGGCTTTGATGGGAATCCACAGATACTAGACTAGAGCCCTCATCATCATCATCAACCCTTGTCTATCCACTGCTGGATGAAAGCCTCTGCACGCCATTGCCTCCCCCCACGGTCCAGTGCCGTTACCATTTATCTCACTCCAGCACATTAACTCATGAAAACCTACGGCACCCATGGTGATGTGTAAACTATACTGTGCATCTGGAATATTGATTGGTGTGTGCACAATTGTGCTGCGTGTATTGTAAGTGTGAAGCTCTATTACAATCGATGGATTGAAGAAATGTTACATCAGGCGCGGGTGAGCGTGGGTGAGGGCGGGTGAGCGTGGGTGAGCGTGGGTGAGCGTGGGTGAGCCTGATCCCCCATGATGGGTGAGAAGAGTTGACAAAGTTGAATATTCAGTCTGCGCTTCACTCCTCATGGAGTCTCTCTGCATCAGCAGTCCAGAGGCGAGGCTCTCGCATTCACCAAACACGCAGAATACAAACTCCTGCCACGTTGTGCGCGTGTGTGCCACAGCGTTAGTTCAGTCAAACTTTTATTACACGGCTACAATTAAATAATAATAGAGATGATCGCGAACGGTATTTAAAGTAATGGGGATTGAGGTTGGACAGGCGACTGGTCATGCGAGTGGGGTTCACACTCAGATGAATACATTAAAATGCACGTTAATCATTCTCATGACTTTTAAATTAACGTTTTACAATGGTTTTGGAGTCGTTTTAATGTTCCTAGTATACGTTGTTGGTGCGTGGTCATCCGCGGTTGCAGAACCACGACTCTAGAGGTTTCCTTGGAACAACCGCTCCTCACGAGTAGTGTGAGGAGTGCGAAGGGGAAACTTTAGTGCAGCGCGCGTGGTCCGTACATGCGCGGAGATGAGCAAACGCAACCCAAAATAAGATATTTTTTTGGTTAAAGTGCGACAGATTTGGAGTGCAAAGCAGACCATTAAAATATGACACCTCCACCTGGACAGCTTTCACTGAGCCCGACTGACAGAGGTGAGAGACCGGAGCACCCTCTCATATTAACAGAAGCAGTTCCAAGACGTTAATGTAATGTGCCACTTAAACATTTTTTATTTATCGAAAATGACGTGTAGCAGAGTTTGATTTTACTTCACGCCGCTTCAGAGGATGGCTTTCTGCTCTCGCGTTGCAGCAGCGAGACTTCACTAACCGCCTGCAATGTCGTCTCAACCCGGCTCAGAATTATTTCGCGAAACGTAGAAATGCATAGTCGAGCGAGATAGCGAACCGACAAAATGCGACTTAAAAAATAAAGCAAAAAATAAATGCGGCGGCACAGCCTCTCCCGCACACACGACATTCTCGCAAATCGACAACGGCTCCCTGTCGTGCACGGCCGGTGTCCTGGGTTAGGCCGCATGTCGAACGTTTCTCATCGCAAGCTCTTGCTACACGCTGCTACGGGAGGGTTGCCACCCATCCTGGTACTCCCAGGATTGTCCACTTTCTCAAGGAAACTGTACCGGGAAGTATGTCAGTCTTCCCGGGACATAAATCTATCCCGGTTTTTGTCATTTGAGTAAAAACAATGCATCACCACTCGAGACGATGCGCTTCCCTGTAGCCCTCCTCTTCCGTGATTGTGAGATACTCTTCCCCCGTGTGATGCGTCCTGGTTTATTGTAGCTCAGAGGTGGCAACCCAACCCTGTGCTGCGGATCTTCACGCCGACTCATGACGAGGCCCGCAGTAGCGCGGGGCCGTCGCTTGAGACGAAGAAATGCTCAACGGCGTTTCGTTATCGCGGCAGAATAACACGGCAGGTGTGAGTTTACAGAGAGAGATGACGGTGAGCGATACAGAATAATGGAAGAGGCAATGGAGATAGCGGTGGGGATTAAGGGAACAGAGGAGACAGCGACGGTAATGGAGTTAGCACGGTGAAGCGTTAATACACGCGAGACGACCATCTCCTCCCAACCCTATCAGCAAAGCGGGGGCAGCGGGGGCAGTGGGGGCAAATCCAGGCTCTGCTGTGAAGCGCCAGGCCCCGGTGCCCCAGCGGGGGCTTCGTTCCCACTGCTCTTTGTCTCCGCAGATATTTTGTCAAAGTTCTGCTGCTCGCCATGTGGCTGGCACTAACTACAGGGTCTGAACAAGTCGTGGCAAGAGAGAGACAAACACCGCTGTGGTCATTGCTGTTAGCCAGCGCCTATTAAACACGGCACACTAAAGGGCAGTGTAGCCATCGCATCGCAAGCACGGCCGCCTTTGTCTTCCCATGCTGTAGCTTACTACACAGCACGTTTTAGGATATTTTCTCCTCAGTCCCAATCGCTTGGTGATGTCACTTAAGACATCATCAAGATTATTCATGCATATATTATACAGTTCTAACAACCTCAGTGTATTGTACCACTTTGTGTTAATTGGTGATATGGCATGAGACTAACAAGTGACGATGTGGTTGTTTAAACACAGAAGTTATAAGCAATCAGAAGAGGCTGAATTAGCTTCACGGTCGTACCAACTCATCAAGGGAATCTCTCATCAGCTGCCACATGGCAGCTGTGGAGAAATAATATTGTAATAATGAGATGCAGATGACATCACTTATGGTGATGATGCCTGTGAGAAGTGGTTCTTGGTTCACGCGTCACAAGTTTGGCGACGTTGGCATACATATGGGTGAGCATCTGAGCGAGTGACTACCCAAGTTAGTGAATGACTGATTGAGTCTGGGAGCAAATGAGTGAGCGAGCGAGCAAGTGGTATGCGACTAAGTGACTAAGCAAACGAGCAACTCAGTGACCGTGTGTGCGACTGGGTTAGTGAATAATTAGTGAGCAGGTAGGTGAGTGGGCAAGCGAGCGAATTATTTAATGAGCAAGTAAGAGGATGAGTGAGTGAGCATGTAATGTAGTATGTGAGTTAGTGAGTGAGCAAGTGGGTGGGTTAGTGAGTTAGCAATTGGGTGAGTGAGCGAGAGGATGAGAAAACTATCAAGCGAGTACGTGAATGGATTAGTGAGTCAGCGAGGAGGTAAGTGAGTGAGTGAGCAAATGATAGTGCCGCTGAGAGAGCGAGCGGGTGGACGGTGCGGAGGGCTCACGTCGAGCAGCGCGGCGTTGATGTAGTTGCTGCTGTCGCCCTCGAGCGTGAGCAGGAAGGGCAGGCAGCGGTCCGGGGGCAGCGCCTCCTTCACGCGGTTCTTGCTGCTGTTCCGGGGCAGCAGGGCGATGCTGCAGTCCTCGGCTCGCAGCGCCGGCGTCACGGTGTTCAGCGTCTGGGGGAGGGCGAGAGGGAGGCACCGACGTTGGGGAGTCGGGGGTGGGGGGCAGGAAGGGTCAGGGTGGAAGTGGAGCAAGGTCAGGGTTAGGTGGGGTCAGGGTTAGGTGGGGTCAGGGTTAGGTGGGGAAAGGGTTAGGTGGGGTCAGGGTTAGGTGGGGTCAGGGTTAGCAAAAGTTCACGGCTTCATAGGGGCCCCAGATTCATGAAAAAGTTACGTGCATCAAATCTGAGCTCAATCGAAATCCTAATGAACGTCACAAGCTGATGAATCTCTCTCATTTCTAACCCTTGTCTGGATCTCTGTACGCTCACATCACAACATCTCTATCTCTTGATTACATATCTTCACTCTTACAACATCTCTATCCTATATCTCTGGTCATCTCACAAGAATGTTATTAATTAAAATGGCGGCCCCAAAAAATTGTTTCTGCTCAGGGGACTCAATGGGCCAACACGATTGCCGATCTCCACAGTGTCACACACAGGACCGGAGCACGCACTCACATGGTGCCAAATCTACCGTAGCCACACAGCGGCGTCTACCAAGCCGGATCCAAGGCAGAGTAACAACGCGGTGAGACCAGGGGAGGCCGGAGAGAGGTGGGGAGGGGTGCTACACACTGCCGGTCCTCAGAAGGATGACGGCGCGAGACGGAGGCGGCCGCGCCGGGCAAGCGAGCGAGTGAGTGAGTGAGCGAGTGAGCGAGCGAGTGAGCGAGTGAGTGAGCGAGCGAGCGAGCGCCGCCCACCATGAACTCCTCCTTGAGCGGGGTGGAGTGCGTCTGCGGGTCGAGGCGAGTCAGCTCCAGGTAGGCCGAGCGGAAGCTGGCGGCGGGGATGGCCGTGTCGCCGCACAGGCAGGCCTCGAGCAGCACGTCGTGGATGAAGACGTACTGCTCCTGTTGCCGTGGTGATGGCGCGAGTACCGGGGCGGGGTGGGGGTGTGGGGAGGGGGGCGGCACACGTGTCGGTTCCGTTAAAGGCACAGCCGCGACAGCCTCAGGATTGTTTTAACGATTTGCAACTCGGGTGGAAAGTGTCAACGCTTCACCTCAGTTCACTGTCTAGCGGAGGGTCATGATAATGCTCAGAAAGATCATCCGATATGAACTAAGGTGGTTTAATTTTAAGTCGTGCCGCTATGAAGGACTCGCTCGACAGAAAACTGGCCAACTTGATCAAAGGGTTTCCCAAACTCCAGGCCATAAAACCCGAGTGAGAATGGACAATACTTGTTGGCTAATGCAATGACGTCACATTCCACGACATCATTAGACATTATGTCATCGCACGGAGTCAAGTTCAAGTTCATTTATTAGGTAGAGCCCTGTGAGCCATGCGGCTCTTAAGTCGGGTGCAACCGCAACAAACAAAATACGCGTCACACGGAGTACGCCATGTTGAATTATCTCGGTGTGCAGCTCCGATGGTACCAAACATCATCTCGCTAATTGAATACTACCAAGAACAAACACGCAATTGGAAAACATTACCAAATCCATATGCATGCATTTTACTCCTTGTTCAGGAGGTATTCCTGCTCATATTTGTAATGAGGGAGATGTGAAATTGTGAGTCTGTAATGATGTGAAGATCGGCAAAACTCGAACTCTGTACCATGGGCAGGCTTGGATTCATGGGGCTGCAGGCTGGGGCATTGGATATTGATGGCCTCCAAAAATATATAGACTGCTTTTGAATGGTTCAAACTCAATCCTGTAGCACTATGATAAATCTGAGTAATTACTAAAGCTATAGCAGCATCACTGTGTGTATTACTACCGGTCACATGTAGAATTAATAACTTTGGTTATTTTAACTTAGATTTAGCTTAATAGTTCGTACATCACATTTAAAAACCAGAACTGATAGGCAATGGGTATGGGTGGTGGTAAAACAGTCAAGGGAAGACATCGTACATATGTAGTATATAGGATATATGTAGGATATATGTAGTATGTATGTATGTTGAGCTTCTTTCACATCATACGTAGCCAACTGTGCTAATTGGAGGTGCGGAAGGACAACAAACTAAAAGCAATACAAAAATAAATTGAAAAAACAGTGCCCCCCCAAAAAAAACTATAGCAGCCCTGGGTCCCCTAAAACTTAATCCGACTCTGATTATGGGGGGCACAGGAAGCACAAGGTTGGGGTCAGGGGACTCCTGGGCCATGAATCCCCATAAATCGGCGCTCACCTGAGAGGCGCAGGGTAAGGTCAGAGGGCGTCCAGGCCATAAAGATGAAAACAAAAACGGGGCCATAAAGACAGTAATGGACGCAGTGGGGGAGAGCGCCATGCCGCTCGCGGCCAGGCCTATAAACAACGGTGGAAGCAAGCCGACTGAAATGAAAACAAAAGGAATAAAATAAATCAATCGCATGGAATATTAAATGCCCTCGGCTTCGACGACGCGAGTGTTGTGGGACTGAGATCCGGAGAACTGTGTTGCACGTGGAAGATTTATCCATTGTGCAAAATAATTTGTTTGCATATAACCCTTAATATTGAATAATGTCATACGCAGTCATATAATAATGTCATACTTTAATAACAGTGGCATACACAGTACTCTCTGGTTCTTTCGGTAAAGTCACGTAGATAGAAAAAATTATCAAGAACACGTTGTTTCGGTCGCAACACAAGCATCTGTCACCACGTCGTCCAAAACCCCTCCCCCCCTCCCGTGCCAATATAAAGCCACAGCAGCAGATCATGCTTTCTCACCTGATGACGGACGCTTTGTGTTGCGACTGCAACGTGGTGTTATTATATTATTTTTTTCTATCTACGTGACTTTACCGAAAGAACCAGAGAATATGGATTCCTGCAGTCACGACAGCTTCAAGTTAAGATTGCATACATAGTAATCACTGAGGAAAGGCTCAATGAGCTGTAGCAGGAGGGCCTTGCATTGTCATGGTTGGGCAAGTTGGCGTGCGAGAAGAAACCAGAATGCCCGGATAAACCCCGTGCTCAAGAGGGAATAGCACTCAGAACTCCACACAGATAGAGTCACTAATACGTGGCACTGCTGTGATCTACTGGCCACCTCTCAGCCCAACGTTCGTCCAATTGCATTCGAAGTCCCTGCAGGATTGTTGTGCATGTGGGAGGAGGCCAGAGTATACTCAGAGCAAACTCGAGCATCGGAAAGGATAACTCTGAAAGGTCCACACAGATGGGCTCACAGTCGACCATTGGTGAACTGCCATCTCCCGGCCACCACGTAGTCCGGCTGGCTTGAGAGTTTGATAAATCTGCATGTGATCCACCCACCCTTGCATCAAAACGCGCTGAATCACAAGTGTGCGAAACTGCATCATAATAATAATCTCATGCAGCTGCAGAAAGGAGATCTAAGTGTTAGAGGAGAGAATGTTGGTCTGCAGTCACTCTTGTCATCGCCAGCCATGATCCACTGCTGGATGAAGGCCTCCCCAGGCAATCCCCATTCATAACGGGCCTGCCATGCCACAATCCATCGAGCACATGCCACGTGGATTACTCCTCTCCTTTGGCTGCTGCTCCATCGTTAGTCTCGACCACCGGACCATGGCCCTCCTTGCCATGACGCGTCCTACTCAAGCCCCATTCACTTCTCTTAACGGTCAATGAGACGCCTCGAACTTGTTTGAAATGTGCAGTGGTGGAGTGCTCGCAGCCACTCTACGCTGCGTTTATCATAAGTCTGGCGCAAATCCATGTTTGTGACTGGGATAATAAATGAATTAATAATGGAGCGTATAAAAACTCGCCACGCAATGGAGGCGGCTCGGTTGTCCACGAGGCGTTTTTTTGTTTTTACGGCCGAGCGCTTGCGGACACAGCCTGAACATTAGGCAGCTGCGGTTAATGTCTTTGAGGATTCAGCACGGACGCCTCGGGCTCTGGGAGCCAATCTAAGGCAGCGCAAATACCACGGAGGAGCCCGACGAGCGGCACGCGCGAGGCGGCGAGCGAGCACGGTTATTGATGGTCGAGCGGAAACTGGGTTGAGCCTCATTAGCCGAGCACCCGGGGAAGGTGGAGACAGGCGGAGAGAGCCACGCTCACGTTCGCTGGCAACGCGGCCAAGATTTTGCGGAGACGTAAAGGGCCGCGCCGTGACGTGCGGAAGTCACGAGGCTTCACCGTGGAACGACCGGATGATGGAAAGTAGAGTGCACAAAGCTATGTTCCCACCACAAGCATCGTGTGCATGTTATGGAGCGCGTCATTTCCACAGCTGTGGGTCAACAAGGGCAAATGCAGGACCGGTTTCGGCATACGGTGTCTGATGTTTAGCGGCAAGGACCCTCGCTGTTAGATATCGGTGCTAGCTCGCTGCGAAATGATTCATGAATCAATTAAGATCGATTCAGACACTCACATAAGTGATGGATAAAACAAATGAGACGATGAAAATGAGAAATATACGAATTGTACCATAATAATCGAATCCCCAGGGCGGTGAATCACTGCTCGAGAGTGCCTATTGGGAAGCGATAAAGAGCAAAATAAAGACTGTGGAGCAAACTATAAGTGGCAATTCCGGCTCCAGTAAACCACGAACTTCCACCCCAGTTTAAGCAGATTCGATCTAGAAGAGGCTCAGGGCAGGCTTTCAGCATGACCTAAAATTTTACTTCGAGTTTCTGTGATCGTAGCGTATCACGTAAGCCGCTGGACCACTGCTCCCCGGCCCGGCAGTCACAGCACGCGTCACGCTCGCACAAACAACGACGCACCCTACGGTGGCGCACCCACCAACTCACGTGCCCCTCCACCCCCTATACAGGAGCACCACCGGTCGACCGTACGGTCGACCGGGCTTCATTTATCACGGAATATTGTCGGGGTAGTCGGTAGGCCGGATTAGCTGGCGTGGGACTAGTAGCCACAGCCACAGCGAGAGGCAGGTCTCACGCAACCACTTATCTACACTACACAGCCGTCACACTATTCCACTTGCCCTGCTGTAAATATATTCGCGGCGTGGCCATAAAACCATACAATGTAATTCTCAGAGCTGGAATTAAGCCAGATTTAGTGAACGACGTAATTTCACATGACAGGTGGGGTGTGTGTGTGTGGTCACTGGAGACCAGCCTGAAGCCATCCGCCCACCTTTAGCACAGGTGGCTGAAACCCAGATCTGACCCCAGACTTCTGACCTCTGAGCCATCCGGCCAGCCTCTTATAGGAGAGACAGGATTTCATTTTGCTTTGTAAACCAGGAGCCGCTCCCTGGGTGGCCGAGTGTAAAATCTTCACTACTCGCGTGCCAGCGCGCTAAGTGACCCTGGCGGCCGTCACCGAGGAGCCGTGCCAATTTAATGTCCCGGAGAGTCAAATCGTTCGTGCTTTTGTTTTCTTTATCAAACAGCCGCGTTTATCATGGGAACAAATACAAACTCGGCAGAAGAGGCTCGAAGTTCTTGATTCCTTTAATGAATTACTTTTCTTCGGGGGATCGAAGTCAATTTAAAAGTTCGTGGGTGGCTGTCGTGAGTGCCGAGAACTGCCCCGGGGTCCCCCCGAGGTCGACGGGCACCAGCTGCGGTCGGCACGAGGTGGGCGCCTCGCCCCCCGTCGCGCTAATCCGCCATTCGTCTCGCAATTAACTCCAGCATCTACCGCACCTGGTACAGGGGCTTTGGGAGCGGACGTTTCTCTCCACGAGCCGTGCAAATGCAGCGATGAATGCTCTTCTTTAATGCAAATCGCAGCGGCGCGGTTGCAGCAGCTGTCACGAGTGATTTTTTTTTCATCGCGGAGAAATAAAGTAAGCTTTTCTCCGCTGAGTTTCGTGTTTCACTGAGTGTTGTTCAGCAAGATGCCCGAGGCTTCGCTGCCAGCTTCTTCAGGAATATAACTGAATTGAAGAAGCTCCAAGGACGTACAGCGAAACATCGGACGTCGTACCGAACGCCATGCGGTACAAATTGCAAATGCGTTGGAGAGCTACGCAGCACAACGGCGAAAACCCACGCGGTGGCACGAGTGGCTCTGCTGCATCGTGGACAACTCCTGAAACCTCCAAGTTATGAGTTTATGGTGCTGAAGGTGTCAAACAAATAGACAACGAATACAAATTCCGATTGAATATTCACAGCGAGCGGTGTAAGATGAGATTATTTCAGATAGCGGCCCTCGCAAGAGCAAATCGTGCAAACGTCTTGTGAAGTCACTTCTATTCGGCCACTTTTATCCACACGCGACGGTGCAAGGGGCGCTTTGTGTGCAAAGCGCTCTCGTGTCATTTTAACTGCCTTCTTTCCCCCTCCAATTTTTTGGCGAAGATATGTGGAGTCACGCCACAGTGCCTCCGATTCCCGCAGGCAGCATACGGCCGTTAGTCACGTGTAATGAGTGTGGGACTTTTTAAAAACTCATTATTTTAGTAAATTTGTCACGTGAAAAAACTTGAATTGCATTTACTCCCAGGAAGCGATGCAAGCCCGATCCGAGCGCGCGCCCCCAAGCACCGCTCGCTCGTCCTCCCTGCCTCCGTGCGCTCGCCGTCTGACATTCATTACCCGAGCAATTAGCATTTCCTGTTCAATTACGCGGCGGCAAATGAGGCGTGGGATCGGAGTGAGCAGATGGGTGGCTTCGTGGGGATGGCTGAGGCCGGTGCGAGATGAAGGAGCCACCTCTTCAGAGACGCCACGGGGCTGCTACCTTTGCCGGTTTTAGCATCAGTAAAACAACTATCGATAAAGTTGTCATGTCCCACATCAACATTTCTCCAAAGGCTCAAACCGATTTAAAGGTCTGTTAAAACTCTAAAAAGCACCGCTCTGCCTCGGTTTTTGAAAGGCACATGTGCATCGAAAACAAGCGCTGAAAGGTAAACGATTATTTTATCTTCTGGTCGACCACCGTTTTGAGACGAGGCTCAAAAGAAAGCTGTCTCTGGTGCGGACCAATCAGTTTCAAAGACAATGCATATATTATCAGAGTATGTTTGTGTTTGCATCATGACCACAAGTTTTGTGTTTAATGCAGACATGATTTTTTGTAAAAAGGTTTCAGTTTGGTGTTTAAACATCTTAACATCTGCTTTGTTGCCAGAAAAAGGGAAAACCCTATTCTCATATTTTGGTACTGGCAAAGGAGGTCCCCTGATGATAATTTTCTCGTTTGATTTTCTCCACCAGCTACATGAGGACGAGGCAAGCGGCGCAGGGGCACGGTGCGAGCTAGGAAGTCACCGTGGGATTCCCGCAGCCAGCGGAGCTTCCATGTATCCGGGGAGGGATTGATCCCGGAGACCCAGAACATGTTCTCACATAACGCCAGTGAACCCCCCTTTGATAAATAAAGCTCTCACCTCATGTATTGATTAACTAACTTTCTAAAACGAGTGGCGAACCGCATGGCAGTCATCCGATATGATAATTGTGTATGTTTACTTGCGTTGGGACAGATGAAGCAACACATCTAATTAAATGTCTTTGTGTGCGGTTATTGTAACTTGGCTTCGACCACCAACTCGCCATACTCGTGAGAAGCACGGGTAGCCACCCAGATTCAAGCTCACGACCTCGGTGTCTCTGACCTGGCCACTGTGAGCCTCTTGAGACAGAGTCGCACGGCCGGCTTGTTCTCGACAACAACAACACAAACAGGAAGCCGATCTGGCAGCTGGGACGGCCGACGCACACGGCGGGGTGGGCCGCTCGCTCTCTGTGGGGTGCGGCACCGGAGCGGGGACGATACGCACCGCTTGGCCACGATGTCGCTCTTTTAATTAACTAATTAATTCCATCAGCAGCAGCTGCTGCGCGTGGGTTCGGCAGCATCCACACTCTGCGCCGCCGCCGCCGTCGTAATTAAGCGCGACTCGTGCATCGCGACGCGGGGAGGCAGCGGCCTCCTGCACGGCCTCATCACTCGTCCTCCCTCCCCGCTCGCTCTCCCCACACCGCACGCTCGTCTCCTCTCCTGGTGTCACCTCCCTCTCCCTTCTGTCCTCTCTCTCTCTTTAATGCTGCCACATTCTCGCGTCCCCCTCAGCCCTCCGCCCTCACCTCCTGCAATGTACCCCCCTCGCTTGCTCGCTCGCCAGCGCAATCCTCTCCTCTTTCTTTTTAAGAAAATAGTTGCGAAAAAAATCCGAGTTGTTTATGATGAATGCACCAGCCGCTCTGTTTGTGGCTCACAGTGCAAACGTACAAAATAAGACAACAAACACAATTGAGAATTCTATCAACCCACAGAGAGTGTGTGTGAATTTGAGGCTGAGTCGACATAGGGGAGGGCCCAGAACACCACGCCAGGTACTCAACTGAATACCTGGCATGGTGTGTAAACATTGCTACTCGAGAGACAAAGGCGGCCGGGCGTGGTGCTGCTCACCCACCTTCTCATAGGTGCTCACTAACAGCACTTGCCCCAATAGCCTGATGAGGCTATACGGGGAATCTTTATCTTTGTGTGTGAATGCATGAGTAGATGTAGTGTGGAGCAGCAGCAGAGCAATTAGTGTACTGCTCGACGAACCCGGCGAGCAGAGCTCAATTCCTGCGCAGGGCCAACATGAGTGACTAACATCTGAACCGGCCCTGGCCTCTCCGAGGTAGACTCTTTGTCTTTGTGCGCGTGTGTGTGCGTGTGCGTGCGTGTGCGTGCGTGTGTATGCGTGTGTGTGCGTGTGTGTGTGTGCGTGTGTGTGCGTGCGTGTGCGTGTATGCGTGTGTGTGCGTGTGCGTGTGCGTGTGTATGCGTGTGTGTGCGTGCGTGTGTGTGCGTGCGAGAGTCAGGGCAGATTTGGTTAGGTCGAGTGGGGTGTGAGTGTGAGGGGCGAGTGAGTTACTCGAAGAGATTAATGAGCAAAGAAACGAGGATGAGCTGATAACAAACACTGTAAAAAAAATTTTTGTTCCTGGGTAGTAAGTGTTATTTCCTCATTGCTTATGCCTCAAAAGTACCGAAAATGGCTATTATTCCCCACAAATTTTGCTTTTGTGACCAGGACAGTGATATTTAGAATTTTACCTATTTTACAGAACATTCCAGAGAGATTTAGTGCTGAGTAAACTTGGAGTAACTTCTTGGTTCTTTCGGTAAAGTCACGTAGAAGGGAAATAATAAAATAATAAAAATAAAACATAATAAAAGTTTTACAAAGTTTCACTGCTATCTTTGCCTTTGGGACAGCAGGGACACCAAGGCGCACTACCAATAGGCGGGACTGGCCACAGCGGACCGAGTTCTCTGTGGGGAGGAACAACGTCAAGTGGGAGCCACTGGTGGACCCCTGGAAGGTGCGGATGCCACCACTGCACATCAAATTGGGCCTTATGAAACAATTTGTCAGAGCTGTAGATAAGGAGACGGTAGCCTTCAAGTACTTTCAAGACTTCTTACCCAAGCTGTCTGAGGCAAAGGTCAAAAAGCCAGTGTTTTCGTCAGACCACAGATAAAGAATATTCTGGAGTGCAATAAATTCCCCAAGAAGCTCACTAGTAATAAGAAAGCAGCTTGGGACAGCTTTGTCGCAGTGGTTCGTGGCTTCCTGGGCAATCACAAGGTCGAAGACTATGTGGAGCTGGTTGAGACTGGTGAAGAACTACGGCACAATGGGCTGTAGGATGTCCCTCAAAGTCCATATCCTTGATGCTCATCTTGAATAATTCAAGGAGAACATGGTGGTGTACTCAGAGGAGCAAGGCGAGCGCTTCCACCAGGATATACTGGACTTTGAACGCCGCTACCAAGGACAGTATAACGAGAACATGATTAGGAGACTACATTTGGGGGCTGATTCGTTAAAGTTATTTACAGTATAATCGTAAATCTTGAAAAACTATTCACTTCTAAATCTTTTGTAGTCATTTTTGTATTACTTTAGTATAAATACATGTTAATTTTGATTCATATGTTGGATTTTCTGAATTTATGTGAACGAAAACACACAAATTCGCCCGTTTTCTCATTGAAAATAGGTAAATTTCACAATATCACTGTCGTGGTCACAAAAGCAAAGTTTGTGAGTAATAATAGCCATTTTCTGTACTTTTGAGGCATAAGCAATGAGGAAATAACACTTACTACCCAGGAACAAAAAAAAAGTGTTACACAGTGTTTGTTATCAGCTCATCCTCGTTTCTTTGCCACGAGTGGGAACCCGGGCAAGCAGGGAGCCTGGCGGGAGCAGGGACCAGTGGGACCCTGCATGGAGAGGGGGGGGGGTAGCGAGCCAAGAGTGAGTGTGAATCTCAGGGAAGAAGTCAGAGTAGATATTTGGAACAAGTGGGAATCAAAATGTGCAAGATTTTCTGGGGAAATTGAGATGCAAAAGAGCCCAAATCTGATAGAGTAAAGATGTGGGGTAAGTGGGATTCTAAAACAGCAAGGTTCTGTGGGAATGGAGATATGGCGATAAGTAGAGATCTAAGGGGCACAGGGCTGTAGAGACATGGAGATGTGGGTTGAGTGGGAAAATTGGAGTGTGTGAGCGAGGATCTGAGATGAGTGAGAATCTGGAGGAGCAGGGTGAGTGGCGATCTGGTATGACGACGAGGAGGAGCGGCGCGCGTCACCTCGGTCTGCACCATGTTGACGCGCTGTAGCCGCAGCTCGCGGACGCAGTTGTAGACGTCGATGACGCCCTCGCGCCCGGCCATCTCCAGCATGACGTCGATCACCACGTAGCAGCCTGTGCGACCCGCACCCGCACTATCCCCACAGGGCAAGGGGTTGGGGGGACAGCACATGCAACGCACATACATGACACCCAACGCCGAGACACGTGCGAGGGTACCGATTTTGAGAATCTGTTACGCTCAGTTACCAACCCACACTAACTGGAGTGGTGAAGAATGGTAAAAAAAAACATGACCGACATGGCTTTGGGAGGCCTTTATCCAACAGTGGATTGGGAATGGCTGGAACTTATTTTAGTTATTTCGCTCAACTACTAGAGGGAGGCGTGAATCTCTCGATCTGCAAATGAAATGTGGCTGTGCTGACACGTGGGGCGGCACAGGGAGCTGGGCAGAGCGGGACCGTGGCTGGCCATGGGGCACACCGCACCTGCAGTGTGTGATGATGGGCCCGGCCTCGGGGGGGTTGGAGGCCTTGACGCGTCGCACAAAGGACAGCAGGCCCGTGGCGAAGGCCGGCACGCCGTGGTCAGGCCAACCCGTGAAGTGGAACTGCCGCACCTCGAGCGCGTCGAAGTACCCCTTCTGTGCACACACGGAGACGGCACCCAGACATGCACGGAATCACACAGAGACCCACAGATTCACATAGACACTCACACTCACATAGGTAACCATAGCCTTATATACAAACCCATAGACTCGCATAGAGAAACATATCATGGACTCGCACTCTCCCGCGACTGAATGGCTCTCTTTGGAAGAGAAAGCCTCTCTCTAGGTGATGGATGATTGCACGTTGCTCCGTGCTGTAAATTGCACTGTTTGGTGGCGTCAAGTGCTATGCGGTGGTTGTCGCGTGTGGAGCGCGTTGAATGTGAATCCCAAACGACTGCTACTATGAAGAGCATGGGATGCCAGAATCAATTACCTAAGATCATCCTCTACATGCACTGGGCAAACTGTTGGGACGAGTGCTGTTAGCCAGTACCCATTAAGGCCGGCGTGGTGCTCGGGGGTGGGGAGGGGCAGTGTGGCCTGGACCAGGCCCACCACAACACGCACACATGCACGCACACACACAAAAACAAAGATCTCCTGTTTCGCCTGTAACAGACTGTTGTGGCAAGTGTTGTTCGTGAGCACCTATGAATGCAGCACCACGCCTGGCCTCCTTTGTCTCCTCAGTGACGATGTTTACACACCGCACCAGGTACTCATTTGAGGCTGAGTCGACCTAGGGGAGGCCCAGGACCGGTTCAAATAATCGTCACTGGTGTTAGTGGCCGTGAGCGGGAATGGAGCCCAGGTCGCCAGGTTCGTAGCACAGCATGCTAACCACTACACTACCGCTCCCCACACCCGTACACACGCATACACACACGCGCTGCACACGTGAGCATTAAATATTCAAGCTGTCATTTTTCACTTTTCCATTGATTTTACACCTGCGCTATATATCAAAATGTAATGCAGCACATTTTATAGATGTAATAGCTTAATTATATATCAGCTCTCACCTGCTCTAAATATAGTTCTTCCATATATATGTAACTTTTTATATATATGATTATATATCCGGATATTGAAAGTGTGTGGCGACGCCATTGCTCCTACGTTGGGCGAGGGTGAGTTTACTGGTCTCTGAGTTCATTAGCCTTGAGACTCGCGACGCATTCCCACGCGTGGGGAGCCCCCCCCCCCCCCCCCCCCCATTGGCTGATGCCATGCGGACAGCACCCATTGTGTAGAGGCACCGGCAACGGCGGCAGCCTTCACACAGCGGCGGATCGACCGCGGGCCGACGATGAACGTCGCGGCTCTTAGACTTAGCTCGGCGATGGGGGCCGGTTGTCTGGGTGTCGCGCCCGCGAGAGCGCGTCTCTCCGGAACGCGCGGCGAGACTGTTCTGGCCGCGTGAAGGAGGCTATCGTTATCATCATTACGACGCACGTAACGACGTATTGATTCATCGACGTGGTGGCCGTTGTTTATGGCCAGGTGAGGGCCCACTGCGACAACAAACGTCTCCTGTTCAAGGGAGACCTTGTGTAAGTCAGTTGTGCGAGAGAGCGAGAGCGCGTGCGGGCAGAACAGAAAAAAACACCCACTGATGCGAGTGTAGAGACACACGTATGCGCTCGCAACGTGTGTAATATGTATGTACATACATACACAACACACTCGAAGCAACAGCTGCCGTTCGTCACGAAGTGACGCTGATGTCCCCCGTATAACCTTTACCAGACTGTTGGGGCCAGTGTTGTTCTCGAGCACCTATTAAAGCCGGAACGGCACACGAGGGGGTGGGTGGCCAGCATCACGCCCGGCCGCCTTTGTATCCCTAGTGGAAATAGTTACACATCGCACTAGGTACTCATTTGAAACTGAGTCGACCTAAGTGAGGCCCAGGACCGGTTTGAGTTAATCCTCACTGGTGTTAGCCGTGAGCGGGAATCGAACTCTGCTCACCGGGTTCGTGGCTGCAGCGCGCTAACCTCTACATTACCACTCCCCACTGACACACAGGTACACACACACAGACACGTGGGCAATCATGTACCTAGTGTGGAATACTCATTAAAATCACTTATAATTAATCAATGATCATGTTTACTAAAATGTCAATATATTGTTCTTAAAATGTATGTAAATTATATGCAAATGTGACCTTCAGGTTAATGGCACAAACAAGACAGAATAACTGAAAAAAACATAGAAGACAGAATACAAATGAAATGGCACAAATGTGAAACATTTAATCAATTCAAAACGAGTCGTGACCCCCGACTTGTAACAATGCATCAAGCAGTGGATAGAACACGGGAGGTGGCAGATCGAGATCCAACACTAAACGATGAGCACCCCATCACAACACCAGCAGAAGGAGAATGCGTGCAGCCTGCATCAGATTTGCCAATGCGCCAGGGCGCGCTCGCAAATAACAGGGAGGTGACCACGCCGATCGTGCCCTGCATGCACGTCGTGTGACCACCGCATTGCATGTTCAATGCTCTCTCAGCCTTGCCAAAGCCACCAGCTCAAAGGAGCTGGCCGTGTAGCCACGGTGCCGTTTCACTCATCGGGAGCGGGAATGTAGCCATCCCAAAAGGCCATGGCAGCGGCACCGCTGCCATGTGCGGCGTGCGAGCATCTCACCCGCTTGACGGAGAACGTGCGGATGACGTACTCCGCGAGCAGCTCCGTGTGCAGCAGCGTCACGGCGATGTCCCCGAGCAGCTGCGTGTCGTCCGGCCAGTACTTGAAACACTTCACCTGCTCACGCACGGCATAGGGGGCGAGCGAGTTGGAGAACTTGCCCGTGGAGACGTCCGGCACGGAGGTGGAGCGATGACATCAGCACACACTACAGATCCGTGCATCACGAGATGGCAAGAGAAGCAGACGGGCTTGCTTAGAGAGGCCTTCGTCTTGCGGTGGACGGATCATGGCTGATGGCGACGACGAGAGAAGCGTGAAACCGGGCACAGTGCGAGCGCTCACCCTGCCGACCTCCACGAGATTCGTGACCATGACGATGCTGGACGACTTCTCCTGCCACACCATCCTCCAAAAGTCCACCGCCGTCTCCTGCAGGGGGCCTAGCGGAGGCGGCGAGACGAGTCGACGATTACGGGGCAGGAAGGTTCAGAAAAAGCCATCGGTTTTCACCGCACGCCATCATGATTCCGGGCAAATCGGCCCCAGTGAGACCGGTTAACGCCAGCGAGGGTCGCGCCAGACCGGGGAGCAGCGGACGTCGGTCAGGGCCTCCGTATCGACGTTTATAGCGGTGCTTTGTCGCAGATGTGCACGTGGGGAGGCCGTCGATTTTTTGCAGGTTATTTATTTTTATCACGGTTGCCGAGCACAGGCCCAAATGCCTGAAATGCCAAGTGGCCCAGCATTACTGGAGCTGTATTCCATCAAAGTTAACGTGTTTAAAAAAATTAGCAATGTGACCATACAGCTTTGCTCAAGAGACAACGGGAGAGAATTCCAAAGCGGAGTAGTGCAGGGGAACAAGCACAAAGATAAATGTTTTGTGACCTGCAGCGATCAGCACAGTTGGCTACGTAGGGTGTGAAAGAAGTTCCACGTACATACAAACATACGTGAAATCATCAGTGTCTGGTCGACTGAGTCCTCAACACGGCTGGAGGAATCAATGCGTGAAGTTCACGCAACGTAACCATGGTAATCGAGACTGTGAGCTCCACACTTGACTGAGTCAAAAAGCACCCTAACCTTTTAGTCAATAAATATCAATAACGGGCTACGAAAATAAATGCACTTAAACCGAAAATATATGTACTTAACCTGTGATATATCGATTCATACAGCTGAAGCAATAAACATTCAATTTCCATAAATACACATTTATACGTCGCAAATTGAATTCAGTTAATAATATGCATAAATAAAATAGCAGAGTGGTAGAGCGAGTGGCTCGCAATCTGAAAGCTGTGAGTTCAAATCCTGGTTGGGAGTTGACACGGCTAATCGTCCTATCAGGTCGATAAAATACGTACCAGTTTGTCTGGATTTCAAAGTAGTTATTATTCTATGGGTGGACTCACCCCTCGCCATGGGAATGTGCAATTCCCACCACTGGCTCAATGCTCGTTTGAGCAGTAGGAGATCTCTGTTAATTTCACAGAATAATTATATTGACACTGTCATGGATCCCGGACACAAAATATTACCTGTTAAGGATTTTAGGATGATAGATGTGAAATTCTATTTACGTGTTGCTCATGAGACATGCCCGCACGTTTATTTATTTCACGTGTTGTAGGTATCAGTTCCTTAAAGGCCATTTCACTCCTTTTCTGGTGCACAGATTCGAGTCACTCCCAGACACGCGGACTCACGCAGGGCACACGCAGGGCACACGCGACAGTGGCAAGGGTGAGGTGTGTGCCAGAGCTGCGGACGCCGTCACGGTTAGGAGATGTAACGAGGGGCGCCGACAGAGGGAAAAAAACATGTTTTGAACCGTGCGGTTTTACGCCGAGGCGACGAGTTGACATTTTTGGCCGTGAGCCGCGGTGTTTAATCATAATGGGTTTGATTGCCGCGCGTTTTAAAGGGTAATCGGCTGCGGGGAAGGTTGATGGACTTGACGCTTCGCAGGTTTTCATCAGCCGCGCGGGAGCGATGGCCGTCTTTATCGTGCGTCTAATGAAAGCTCCCATTGACCGGAGGAGCGTCAGAGGAGGGAAAATGTGCCCAACATAAATCAATATATCCCGCCAGCTTCCATCACATTTCATCAGCCAAAAAAACACTGTTTGAAAATCAGCGGGTTCTGATAATGGAGACATCGGAACGAATTTAACAGAAGTCGTCAACGGCACAAAAGAGGCGTCGTCTCGGTTGGCAGCGGAGCGGAGGGCGACGCGTCCCAGGCCCCCGAGCCGTCGTCGGCGGTCTTCTTTCAGCTTTAACCCGTCTCAAAAGTAACAAGTAAATGTCATATAATTAATAAAAACAAATCCAATTAATTGCAGTTTGCACCGAGGTCATTATTTATTCGTTTGTTTTGAATTCATTTAATTAATGAAATCCGCAATCCAAAAGCACGTAGCAGGCTCAATTTTCAGAGCTGCCAATCATACGAGAGTTATGGGAAAACTTCAAATGAAGAAAAAACAGTGCCACACGAGCAGCACGCGACCTCTCCTCACCGTCATTGCAATTCACGGCCACGCTCGCGGAACCACGAATTGAACAAAGAGTCGAGGGACGGGGAAGCGGCGAGGGGTGGCGACGCTCAGGGCCACCGCTGTGCCACGCAAATGGGACGTGTTGCGGCTCTGTTTCGGCATCATAAATCACAACACTCGCGCGTCCGTGCCTCCCCTAGCTCTCTCGCACAAACGGATTTCGCGGCTCAGACAGCAAAATGCGGCGAGTGTCTCCGTGCGCGCTCTCACGCGTTTGCACAAACGCCCCAAGCAAAATACAAAATATGTGGAATATCGTCTTGCGAAACGTGAAAAAAACGGTGCATTAGAGGGAGAAAGAGATACAGTATCGTTAAAGAGAGGGATGGGAATAAAAGGGTTGTGGAATTCAAAAAATGAAAATGTGCAACTGCCCATAAGTGTACACAAAGAGAGCCTCGCAAATGAATGTGAGCGGCCGCGGGCGGAAACGGGAGGCCTTGGGAGAAGGAGCAGCTCCCCATGCCGGATTGAAAAGGCCGTTTTCTGACGTCAGCCGGCAAGGCTTTTGTTTGACCAAACAATGCCAGGAAGGCGGCCTTTAGCCGATCATCTTCTTCACTCTTCCTGTTTTGCCTAGGCACCGTAGGACCTCGGCAGAAAACATTCCGAGAGGACCCTCATGGAAAATGAGATAATGAAGCTTCGTCTACTTAACCCAGACACATTCACAGTCAATCTCGGCGAATTCTGCAGCAAAAAAACAGCTGCCTCGTGTGGGAAAAAACAATAATTTGCTCCCGTTTTCAGAGAATGCCACAAACAAAGCAGCTATTTTCACAACAACAACACTGTTTTCCTCGAATAGTGGGAAGAAAAAGGTCATTTTGGATGGCAGATATTTCCAGACACAAACTTGAGCCGTGGTCTCGGACGCAACACCGTCTGTGTCTGGCACCGAGATGAAGCAGAACTCAATTTTGTTGAAGAATGAGAAAAAATTGAAAAGCATTGACAGACTTTCCAGAAATTACATTAAAGTGAGAATAAAATTAAATAAATAAAAACCCAGATAAAAGTGCAATCCAACCCGAGTCTTCAGGTCTAAGACAACCATACACGGTGTCCGTGTGGGGAATCTGCCTTGAGAGTGGCTCAGAGTGCAGCATTGCCCAAGGAGAGGGAATTTGGTCATCCGAGACTTGAGTCACACGAGACGTAGAGAGACTTAGGTGCCACGGGACTAAGGCCACACGAGATTTAGGTCCCAGTGGCTATCTGTAGGTGCAGAAATGAACAAAATGTTTTAATATTACACATTTCTGGAGCAAAGTAACGTAGACACAGATTAACTGTGAGTTGTGTGATTTAGATAAAATATGTCAACTACTTTGGGGTGGATAATTTAGATCGTCATCAACATCACCATCATCATAATCAGTGATTCCACTGCTGAATAGCGGAGCCTCCACCACCTCTCACGATCCCGCGATGTTATAATCCGCCGAGAAACCTCATGAATTACACGTTTGAATTACACGCCATCTAGACGCTTGCCCATCTCTGCCGGTGGCGAGGGATCAATAGATACGGCGGCAGTGAGGAACTTGGGGGAACGCAGTGGCGCTGGAATTCCTGTGGGCGGCCACGCGCGGGGCGAACGTTGGCGTTGTGTGTCGACAAACCACCGCGAGCGTTTCGCTGAGCGTGCATATTGCGTGGCGGTCAGGCACATCGCACGCCACCACCGTGCCTCACCTTGCGTGGCGATGTATTGCCGCTGCTTCTGATAGCCCTGGAATTCAACACACACACAACGCACACGCACAGACACACACAATGCACAACATAAACGTCACGATTAGCGGCATATACGCTCGGCAAGCGCGAACTGTAGGCAAGCCCCGATGAAGAGTGGCGTTGCACACGCGGTGGGGTGTTGTGTCCTGCACACTTTTGCTTCATAGTACCATTACATCATCTTATCATTTGAGGCCGAGTTGATCTACGAGCGGCAGTGGTACACAAACTCATGACGTGTTATCGTGGCCTCGGCCACTTGCATTAAATAGGCCGCTTGCATTGAATATGGCTCTACTCAATGCAAGTGGCCGAGGCCAGAGTCAGAAGGCGGCTGTCGCTAACATTGCGCACTGCGGTGGGGAGCGAGGCCCGGGTCGCTGGGACCGCGCTGGCGATCCACTGCTCTGGCGATCCACTGCGCTCACAAACAAACTCGCGCTCACAATGGGCTCCAATTTCACGAGGAGAGGCGCGATTATTGAACTTCCCGTTGCTCATGAAGAGGATAATAGGGTCGCGGAGATGCTGTTTGCCAGACTGCAGCCCTTCACTCGGCACTCAAATCGAGGCCCAGCTGTCAGGTGCAGAATCACCCCCCCCCCCCCCTTGTCACTCACTCACAAGCGCTCAGCCTCCAGCGCTCGTCTCCACGACTCTCCGAGCTGCTCCTCTCGGCTCCGTTGTGACGGCGCTCGTCTCGCCCCTCCCTTTCATGTGGCGCTTTGATGACTTCCCCCCACATGGCGCGTGCGCGTGTGGGTGGTGTGGGTGGTGTGCGCGTGTGGGTGGTGTGCGCGTGTGGGTGGTGTGCGTGTGGGTGGTGTGCGTGTTGGTGGTGTGCGTGTGTTGGTGGTGTGCGCGTGGTGTGGGTGGTGTGCGCGTGTGGGTGGTGTGCGTGTGTGTGTGGTGTGCGTGTGGGTGGTGTGCGTGTGTGTGTGGTGTGCGTGTGTGTGTGGTGTGCGCGTGTGGGTGGTGTGCGCGTGGGTGGTGTGCGCGTGGGTGGTGTGCGTGTGGTGTGCGTGGTGTGCGCGTGCGGGTGGTGTGTGCGTGTAGGTGGTGTGGGTGTGCGTGTGCGTGGGTGTGCGTGTGTGTGTGGGTGGGGTGGGCGTGTGTGTGGGTGTGCGTGTGTGTGTGTGCGTGTGGGTGGTGTGTGTGTGTGTGGTTGTGCGTGTGGGTGGTGTACGTGTGCGTGGTGTGCGTGTGCGTGTCCGTGTGGGTGGTGTGCGTGAGGGTTTGTGCGTGTGGTAACATAAAAGTGCCGTTAATCTCGGGAACTACCGTGGCTGCCTACACGATTTTCTTTTACATTTTTAAAGTGCAATTCACTTTCTTTGTTTATCCTTAATAATTTAGTTTATCTTAATTATTGTTTTATTTAGTATCAAGTTAAATAAATAAAAACATTGTAACGCCTACATATTTGAAATGGTTCGATGTAACGCAGGTTGCCCTTGAAACAGACGCAATGATGCCCGTGGGTCTCAGTGGGGTAATCCCCTCTCCTGGTTAAATCGCGGACACTGACTGACAAATGCCAGCTCACTGGACAATCTGGATCTCTCATTATCCATCATCAGCCATGATCAATCGACTGCTGGATGAAGGCCTTCTTAAGTCGCCACCATCCGTCACAGTCCTGCCATGTAGCAATCCAACCTGAACCTGCACAGGAGCCCAACTCATCATCGCTCCATCTCAGCAGAGGATGGACTATTGGGCGCATTCCCTCCTTGGCTGCCACTCTGTCGTTATTATCGCCCTTCGGGCACCATCCCCTCTAGTGACGCATCTGTCCAACCCCCTTTGCTTTTCTTAACGATCAAAGATTCTGCGGTTGACCTGCGCATGTTCTATAATCCACATGCTGCTGCTCGCCGTGCATCTCAGTGGAATCCCGAGAGAGCTTTGGTTCTACCTCATTCGTCAGCGTTCGTATTTGTGACTCACATCACGGCAGGAGTCATCGCGGATTAAAAAGTTGTTCTTTAGGTGCGTGGGCCTTGTTGCTACATATGGGATGGGGCAGCAAGCGGGACGAACTAGTCGACTGGGAGCGAGTGGTGGCTGCACCGGAGCGGTGATGGGGGGAGGGGGATGGGGGGGGGATGGGAGGGAGGGAGGGGGATGGGGGGGAGGGAGGGGATAGGGGGGAAGAATGGGGGGGGGGGGAAGGCAAGGGATGGGGGGGCTCTGCAGACGGGAGGCGACTCGGCTCCCGCGAGCGTCAAGTCACGAGAACAAGAATCACCCCGCGGGGGGAGAGAAACTTGTAGATGTTATAGATGGAGGTGCCGAGCTGCAGCTCGAGACGGGCGCAGAATAAAATCGACAGCGCCATGGACTTTTGCTAAATCATGGAGCAGCGTTTTTATAGCATTTATTAAATTATTATTTTTATTACACGCACGGCCGTCGTCCTGCATGAGCGACGGTCGGGCCAGCGCGTGGCGCATCGTCCGCCGGGGCTACTCACGTCGACGTAGTTGCCGTTAATGTAGTCGGACTCGGGTTTCCCCTCCAGAGGCTCGAGCACGACCCTGGAGTGGTCGTCTGGCATCGCATCCACACGCGCAAAGACAAACGTCCCCCGTTAGCGGAGCACCCGGAGGGCGGGCGGCCACCAGCGCTGTGCGCCACCGCGCGGCTGGCTGGGCCCGCTCGATCCGGGAGGACACAACAACCACTGGCTCCTCCTCGTGAGCCACATGGGCTGCCGGGGAAGGTGCTGTTAGCGAGCACCTACGAAGGCGGGCACAGCATACGACGGGGGTGTGGGTGGCCCGGCCGCCACCTTTGTCTCCCCGGTGGCGATGTTTAAACACCACACTAGGTACTACTCGTGTGGGACCCAGTCGGCCGAGGGGATGGGCAGGACCGGTTCAGATAATAGTCACTGGTGTTGGCCGTGAGCGGGAATTAAGCTCGGGTCGCCGGATTCGTAGCGCAGTGCGCTAACTGCTACCCTACAGCTCACACACGAAGACAAAGATCCCCCATATAGCCTTAACAGACTGTTAAGCAGCGTGTTAACTGCTACACTACCGCTCCTGATAGCTCACACACAGACACACAGACACACACAGACACACAGACACACACAGACGCACAAACAGAAACGTGCACAGCGAATTAAATTAAGCTGAGAGTGTTTCACCACAGGCAACAATGACTAACACTGGATTAAAACTTCAGGGGTGCAGTTCTATTCTAAAATCGATTCCATTTGTTTTGTGGTGGTGCATGGTGGCACCTCTTGTGGTCGTGTGGATGATGTGTACCCATTACATATACAACAACAACAACAACGACGTGTACCCATTACATAGACAACAATGGCGACGATGACAAATACGAATGGAAAAACACTGGTTCTCACACACGCGATTGGATGCATGTATCATGAGCTTCAGGATCGATATTAAATGAAGAATCAATGCATCGTTCCACTCCTAATAATAAGCTAATGTTCCAGGCAATGGCCCCTTATTTATTGTTTGAGAGATTGCCGATCGGCTCGCTGAAATGTTTTAATGAAAAGCCGCCGATGCGGTGGTGACGGTGCGTCGGCGAGTGGCACGCACAGGCGATGATGTTCCCGTAGCGGTTCCTGCCGCGGTTCTCGTCCTTCTTGGCCACTTGCCAGGGCGCCGACTGCCCATCCAGGAAACTCTGCGACAGCGTCAGGGAGCGGCGGGCGGCGCAAACAGACGAACGCGAAAGTCACAAAATAAAGAACGAAAAAGTACATGCACATCAACAAACCCACCGACAAAACTTTAAATAAAATCGTCATTTTAGCCCAATGTCATGTAGATTGTGCTATCGGTAGCATGCAATGACACAAATTATCTATTTGGATATCTTCGTATTGGAGAATGGCCCACGGAAGTGAATATCACAGGGTTACCTCTGAGTGTCCCCTGGTCCACACAACAGGAAATATCACTTTCCCATCTGCCTTGCCGTGTGAGAGCAGTGTTTGTTTCACGATGGTCAAATGGATGAGTTTTATTCTCAGAGCTGGAAAATTAATAGCAGCACCAAATTATAACGTGAAGTTTATTTTAAGCAGTCATTGGAGACCGGGCTGAGACCATAATCTCCCTCCACTTGGGAACCCGATTTAATCGCAGCGGGTGCTGGGACTCAAACCCAGGGTCTCAGCTGTGTTGAAGCAGCGTCTCTGACCTCCGAGCCACGCGGCCTCCTCCCAAGATCTGCGGCTGTCACCACTCGCGTGCAGGCGAGCAGTGCAACACGTCAACGGTGAAACCACGAGTAACGTCACACGGAGACACTCCGCAAGCGAGCGGGGATCGCACGGGTCGGGCGCGATGCGTCATTGGGAACCGGCGTTCACCTCGCAAACGCGAAATGTTCCCGGAGGCGAAACCGTCATGCGCACGATAACAATTCACCGGCAAAGCCTCTCCTGCCAACGTCCACAGCGACTTCGATCGTCGCAAAAACCATTCTGGACTGCGGGACGACCAATTCCACGCAGGAAAAGTGCGAACAGAAGAGCGGGAACGGCCGCCGAGCTGCAACGCTAGGGGCTCACGGCCGAATCGCCGGTCAAGTCCCCTGAATCCGCGCTCAAAACAACCACAGGGATGCCGCGGAGAGCTGGCATGTACTGGGAGACCCAGGGACCCTCTCCCATGGGAATTATACACGACCGACTCTCTAGGTCGATCTGCACAGAGCCCTCCTCACCAGGACTCCCCAGATGCACACACGTCAAGTGTCCGTCAACTCTCTGCATCGACTCGTTTCTCTTTGGACTCTCTACAGCGACTCTATAAAGAGCATCTCTTTATTGACTCGATAGCAATCCCCGACACATACTCTCCTGATTGACCCAATCGCCTATGTTGGCACACTATCCATTCGATATATTGACGATCATGGGGGTCTCTACAACGACTCTCGATATTGACTCTCCATCGACTTTCTGGAGCAACCATGCTCTGTTTTATTCTTGGTATTGCTGATGTGACGTAAAGCGAACGCCTTAATTTTTTATTAAGGTGGTTGAGCCATTGCTGTGATGCCTCCACCTTCATATCAGTGAATCAGGAATTGACTCGTTGTACATTCCATGGTTCTGTTCTGCATGACCACAGTCGTACACCATTTGTGCATCATCAGTTGTTTGCAACTGCTGTAATGGTATTGGCCAAACATCCCAATGCTAAAAAATACCTGAAAATTACTCAATTCAAATCACACAGCCACATCATCCCCACCTTGGCATGACCCTCCTGACAAGAGTATTTTGAGTGAGGCCTTTCCTGGTAAACAAGCCTAATCATGACGTAATAATTGTGGATAAATTGAACGCAATGTTGTAAAGCGTGTGGAAGCTGCCCTTTGCTATACGCACAAAGTAAAGACAAGTTATTCTAGGTACACAGCGGCCCATTGCTAAGAGAATGCCGCGGCGAGCACCAGACCATCTGCAGCGAACCGGCAGAATGGCGCCAAGCCCCCACGGCGGAGACGGCCGCGTAGCGTCGTGGAGCGGGCGCACGCACCTCGTACTCCTCCTTGAAGCCGCACCCCTCCGTGCTCTTCATCTGCCCGATGTGCTGCAGCAGGTCGGCCACGCGGATCGCGGGGCGTGCCGGCACGCCGCCGGGGTACGTGGGCGACGGGTACGGGGGCGGGGGCTCGCGCCCCGGCAGAGGCGGCCCCCGTGGGAGGGTGCGGTCGGGCAGCGACGGGACGACGCCGCCGCCGACGCCGATTCCTCCTCCGCCTCCGCCGCCGCCTGGCTCGATCTCGCTCAGCGGGGGGCGGAGGGGGGCGGCGGGGCTCCGGGAGAGCGTGCCGCTAACGCTGCCGGTGCCGCGGGGCTGGCTCGGCGACGACAGGAGGATCCCCGAATCCTTGAAGCCGGCCTGGTTCTCGTCTGAACTCGTGCACACGCGCGTATGCGTATGCGTATGCACGCGTTCACACACGGACACAAAATAAAGAGCCCTCGTTCAGCCTTTTTCACCGCAGGGGCGAGCGGTGGTACCAGCGCATTCCCCTGCCACATTTTTCACTCAAGCGCTGATATTCACACACTGCATTAGGCACTCATTCGACGGCTGCGCCGATATACAGCAGATCCAGGACAGGCTCTGACACAATTTGCCACCGGCATTCTTAATGGCCACGGCTCAAAGCCAGGTTTCTGGCATCCTGGAACAATGCGCTAAGTTCTGAGCCCGCACACACTAGCAGACACAAAAAACAAAGCTTCCTTTGTAGAACCTCAGAGAACATAGGGACACGTGCTGTTAGTGATTGTTTATTATTGTATGAGTGGAGCATGACTGGGTGATGTTACCAGTGCCACATACAAACTGCTTTTGTCTTCTCAGATTCGATGTTCAAGGCCATACCTTACAGGTTACTAATTTCAGTCCGGGTTGACTCAGGGGATGCCCACTTTCCAGGTTTGGATGCCAATCTGTCGCTGATATTGTACGCACGCAGGATATGCATACAGGTAGGCCTGCATCGTGGTGCAGTGAGCAAGTGTGAAGCTAGTCAGAGTTGTAAAGCTATAAAATAATTCCATCCATAAGACTGTCTCGCCGTAGTTCACGAGCGGAATGCCCACGTGGGGCGGGCGAGCTCGCGGCTCCCAGACGCGATTGTGCAATCCGTACTCGAGCTGCGAAGAGTTCACATCGAATGCACGCGAGTGCAAATACAGGGCCGTGCTTGTTTCGTTGGCCTTGAAGCTCCGCTATCTTTTCTTTCTGACCTACACCTGCCCTGCGTTGTACAAACACGCTATCCACTCTGCTCTCCGGTATCCGATGCTTTGAATCTGCGACAATGGAAGATCCTTGGCATGGCAGGTGCTTTGCCGCCATGGCGGAGCGACCGTTCATCGCAGCCGTGCGTCGTCGCAAATCGACGCGCGATAAGGCCAGCGATATATGTGGAGTAGGCGAGGTTCAGAGCAATGGCAGAGCCAGGATTTTCAGGTAGGGGGGGCAACCCCTCCAGCAATGAAAAATGATAGAGGAGTTGTTAGTAAATAAGGACTTGTCCCTTGCTTTTTAATCGACGCGTGTGCGACGATGGCGCAGCCGTCGATCGAGGGTCGATTTCGAACCGCGTTGTGTGATCGGCATCGCGCTCGCTGAAGGTGTTGATGCCTTCAGGAAAGTTGTGTCCTGTATATGCAACTGCGCACAATTCTGAGTCATTTATAACTGCTTTGCCGTTACTTATCGCCAATTATGGACTCAACTATTGTCCTATCATCTCATAGAGTCCCTGGCACGTAATAATATGCTACACAGTGGCAGTGGGGGTCGCAAAATGGCGATGTATTACTATTAAACCCCAATGATCCGATCGAAATTAGGGATTTCGATCGGATCATAGGGGGGGGCACGTGCCACTCCCCCCCCGTCCACTGGCTCTGCCAGTAGTTCAGAGTGTTCACAAATGTGCACACACGAGCGCACATCTACACACGAGTGGGGAAACGTGCCACGGATATCGACTGTGAGCAGAAATCAAACTCGGATCGCCGAGTTTGTAGAGCGGTGCATTAACCACTGCGCCGTCGCTCCCTATTACACACACGCGCAATCACATCTACACAGGAGTGTGCAAATGTGCCACAAACCGACACCTATTCTTCCGCACTTGCTCATGCACACTCATGCACACACACACACACTGGCTCACGCATGCACGCGTGCGCACACGCTCAAGTACACTGACGTGCACATACACAAACACGTGGACGCACGCACGCGGCCATGGAACAAAGTGCGCGTAGCGGTCGGTTCTCACCTAAGGCTTCAATGGATGCAAACAAGTCATCGTGAACTGCCGTGCAAAAGGCCGCAGAGGAGTGACCGTTACGAGTCCGGGAAGGGAGGTGGGGAGTGGGGGGGTGGGAGGGAGGTGGGGGGGACACGGGTTGGGGGGGAGAGGCAGAAAGCAAAAGGAGAATCAGTTGGGAGAAGAATAAGAATGAATAATCAAGAAAACAACGGAAAATGTGAGAAAACCGTGAAAGGAAAAGCCAGCGGGAGAGGGAGGTTGCGTGGACGGGGCGGCGTCGTGCTGCTCGCCAGGACGAGCGGTGACATCAGAGCCGTCACGTGGCTCCCACGCACCGCTCTCACCTCTACCCAAGCAACGAAGCAATGTATTCAGACTCTAAACTCCACAGGATGTGACTTCACAATAACGAAAACACTCTCCGATGTGTTTTTGGTTTGTTCCGCGTGTTGCTCAGTGGCACCACAATGTCCGACGTTTCGCTCCACATGCCGGCAGCTTCTCCACGTATGAGGGGAGAACACCACAAAGATCGTGTTCCATCCACGTGCTAACCAGGCTCAACTTTGCTTCGCTGCCGAACTCTGATGACATCCGTGATTTCTTTGTAGTCTACAACAGATTAAAGACGCTGCATCATGACGCGTGTGTGGAATTGTTGCTTTAATAGCTGGAGTCGTGAGCCTTGTCACTACTGTCGGGCAAAATACAAATCTTCCTTGACCTGGTAGTGATCGGCGCACCGGACTTGCAATTCAGCGGTCGCTGGTCTGATTGGATCTCACGGCATTTGAAACAATGGAGCAAGTTTCTCAATCCCCCTCGCCAGCAGAACGAATGGGTCACGACGTGTGGTGGGGCAAAATGTGGGTACTCCTACCTCTTCCAACATGTCTGATCAACATCACAGAGTTTACCGAATCCCCTCGAGAGCTCATTCCACTGGAGGCCTTTCTGCCAGCAGTGGAGCGAGCAATCAATCGCAGGGCTGCAACTTCGAGCTGTGCCCACTAGACACTCACGGTGCCTCCCTTGCCAAAGTAGACCCACACCGAATAAATAGGGTGGGCATCCCTGTCCAGAAAGTCTGGCCGTACCGATTTGTATACGGTAGGGATCGAGGGGTTGCACTGAAGCAACATTAGGGAAGACGGGCAGGTGTAGAGACACTTCGCTCAGAGAGAGAGAGGAAGCCACGCGCACGGGAGAAGAGGAACGGCGTGAGCCAGGATTCAATCCAGGGCAGGAGGAGGTCTCAGATGGGCAGACCTTGGGAACAGCAGCAGCAGCAGAGCAAGGGTTGAGTTAGAGTTTTGGCAGAGGGTCTCGGTTACTGGAGCAGAGAGCACGTGGAGAGTATTCGAGTGGCAGGCAGCGGTGGGCTCCTGAGAATAGTGAGGGAGATAGACGAGAGTTGATGAGGGATTGAATCGGGAGCCAGTGAAGGGATTTGAATACCAGGGCAAACTGGTCTTGTTTATGGGTGTGGATTAGAAGTCTGGCAGTAGCAATCTAGATTATTTGCCAATGTTATGATATTCTGGCTAACGGGGGCAACTTTAATGAATTGTGAAGTGGTGCATCTAATGCACCACTTCATAACGGTCCCCGGACGCGGTGCGGATGCGGCTCTCGCTGCTCGCTCCGCGGGCCTCCCGCCACAAAGCGAAACGGCGCCCTCGGCACAGCCGCCGTCTATCGATCCCTGCGCAAACGGAGACGCCTACGCGCGCACCTGGACGCGTGCGTGTACGCACGCTCCCACGCACACGACACCCACGTGGGCCCACACGCTCGCCTGCACGCGCAGACGCGCTCGCACGCGTTTGTATGCACGCGCGTTCATGCACTCGTTCATAAGCAGGCTCGCGCATACGCTCATTGGACAGACGTGCACTCGCTGACATTCGTGTGCACACGCGCACACACACTTATGCACGCTTGCGCGCGGAGGGCGAACCTTGAATGAAGTACGGTTGCGCGGTGCGGCACAGAGTGCCGTGCGTCTGCACCGCGTTGGTGGGAGACGGGCAAAACGCTGCGGACAGAGGGAAGGAGGGAAACCACGCACACACGCACACACACACGCACGTACACACGCACGCACACACGCACACACACAGGCACGCACACACACACGCACACACGCACGGGGTCAGCGTCACCATGGCACGGCCGCGAGCGAGCACGGTGACCCAGCGGGCACGAGCGCGCCGCGCCCACCATTGGAGCGAGATGCTGCCTTCTAATCTCCCTCTGTGCCAAATTTGAGCTGTCTCACCATCGTTATGGCGATTAAACATCTTGGATTGATTGAGACACTTCCCGCTCGTATTATTGCCTGAAGCCCCGCGCTTGTGAAGTGATACTGCCCAACCTAATGCAGGTGCATTCAGCCTCGCGGCATTAATGTCATGTCCTCTATCTCATTGCGGTGCCTGAGTTTTGCTCCTTGATGCTTTCGTCCGTGGGCATCATGCAGGGGTCTATTAAGCTGCTTTGTCGTTTTTATCCAATTTTATCCTGATTATGCTATAGGCATCATGCCATGAGACAGAGTATCCATTCGGAATGGTATTATAGAGTAGTTCATGTTCGTGGATATGACAGAGCCACCTTTGATGCCCGGCCATCTCAGGCTTCACCAGTGAATCTTAATCAACCGCCCCCCCCTCCCAAAGAGACACTGCCGGCCCATTGATACGCGTCTAAGGATGCGTGCGGTGTGGTCAGGTTAATTCACAAACGCCGGCTAGGGTTTCCAAATGGTTTCGGATAATAACGTCTGCGCTGTTGCTGAATTCTTACGTCGTTAAGCAAATATTTTTTTTATCTCGCCTGCTTCACGAAATTAGGTCATAAAACGTCCAAAAGTTTGTAAAGTGGAGTGAATGCACGCGGATTTCTCACGGGGGAGCGAGGAGGAGCCCTGCACAGGGCGCTGGTGGACGGCAGCGTGCACTCGATTAGCCAAACCCATTACGAGAGCGGTAATTAAATATCAGGGCCGGCGCAAAACTTTCCAATCTCGTGTCCCTGTTCCCTCGACCAGAACAACAATTATCAAATGGAAATTATCTTTTTTGCTACCATTATAAAACAGCAAATTATTATTTTTTATCATACATATTACAAAAACCCCCAGAGGTTAGCACGTTGGTAATTGCCCTATATGGCGACGATTTATCCGTCCATCCCTCCCCTCGCTGAAATCTGGAGAGTTTAGAGTCGCGCTAATGAGCAATGCGCAACGCACGCCAGAGATAGAGTCATCGTCGTCATCGGCCAGGCTCAATCCACTGCAGGATGAAGGCCGAGCCGCTGCTGCCACCGCCTCTGACGATCCTGCGATGTAACGGCTGCCCAGCACCTGCACTGAACCGATTCCATCGCTCCGTCTCGTTGGCATGCGTCGGCACGCTGTGTTCGCTCTCACCACGCGGGTCATGCCACGGGGAGACGTGATTCAGCCTGGAGCGGTCGCCTGTGCACTGATTAAGCGATTATTTATATCAGGACGGCATTTAATAAAGATCCGTGGACAGAATATGCCGAGCCTCTCTGGAACAGTCTGGCTCTTGCTAAAAACTAAATCAGTAATAAGAATAACAACAAATTAATTCTCATGAGTCATTTTCCCAATTCAGATTTACATTCCATTTTCTTCACGTCCATGTTTAAGTTTGCAGCCGTTTATTAAACGCAAGGTAGGCCGGGTAAAGCACTCAAAATTAAGCACCACCAGAAATCCTTTCATCATTACATTCCTAATTGAAGTCGCGCAGGGAACAATGATGGGGCCAATAAGAGACTTGGATGTGAAAATCTAAAGTTATATAAAGTGTAATTTAACTCTCCAACTTTTGATGCAAAGTTACGGAGTAACAAAGCCGAATGCACTTTGATTGTAATTGCCGTTCGTTACCGGGAACGGAGCTGATGAAGTCACGTAGTTGCGCGGGCTGGCGAATTGGGGTTAATCCCAGCTCCGTATCCACCTTTCACGTGCAATTACAGCGCGATCTTTCGGACTTTCGCGTTAAAGATATTTTTTTTTTACCGGCACCGATAATAATTGGCCAGGAAATCGATCTGCTAGGGTGCACACGAGGGCAGCACGAGGTGAGGGCAGCACGAGGTGAGGGCAGCACGAGGGAGGGCAGCACGAGGTGAGGGCGCCAGAGGGAATGGGTTCGACGCAAACACTCGTCCAGCCCTTGAGCAGTGAGCGACCGAGTCGCGAGCCGCGGAAGGTGAATAACAATGCGGAGAGACGGCCTCTCCTCGCTCGCCACCAAATCACATGGAGCGCCGTCCATTTATTATATCGTGGGGTCGTGACAGGTGCCGTTGACTGAGGGAGGCCTCCATCCAGCAGCAGGTTGATCACAGCTGATGATGATATGGCCGCAGGTGTACGTGTTGTCTCTGTGCTAATTGTAGCCGTGTGCCAAGGGGGAACATAGAAACCCCCTTTTGTCACTCCATTGCTGGATGGGGGCAACGTATATCGGAGCGAGGAGCCTCACTCAAACAGACGCAGCATCTCTCCTGCACGCCGCACCACAAAGCCACACTGACAAGCGCATCTCTCCTTCTCCGAGTAAATGTTTCGCTCGCGTTGCGTCGTTAAAGTGCAGCGTCGTGCGAAACGCGGTTCTCAATATCCAATCCGCGTGATGCGGAATGTAATAAACGTGAATTATTGTCAGTTCAGCGGAAAGGGCCACTAGCAATTAAAACGCAGAGTCAATGGGATAATGATTAACAGGTAATTGACTTCAGATGAAGCTTGCGCCAGGGCCAGAGACTGCAGAATCCACAGCCCAGACGATAGGCGACCGAAAATGAGCCACAATATTTTTGAATGGCGGGCTCGACAGCCACAGTTGTGAGAGATGATGCTCGGCTTTGAATCATTGAGACGTCTGCTACATGACCGTGCCGTGCCGTAGAAGCCAGATCTTGGGTCATGGGTCACCGGGTGAGCATCACCACGTCTCTCCGAGTGGTCACTTGAACCGGATTTAGATTGAGGGTCGGGCAACTCAAGTGCGCAGATGTGTTTTGCTTCCACTCTTTTCGTCATCATCAGCCATCATCAATCCATTGCTGGATGAAGATCTCCACAAGCCGTCGCGATCTCGCGCAGTATTGTGATGTTGTAACAATCCACTGAGCACCTACAAAAGAGCTGATTTAAATGCTCCATCTCTGTGGGGGAACGCCCTCTCGGGTGTGTGAGCTCCCTTTGGCTGCCACTTCATTGTTAGTTTTTCCCATCGGCCATCATCATCATCATCTCGTCTGGCGATGTGCCCTGCCCAAGCCCACGGACGTGTCTTCTCTAATGCGGGGGGGTCCCCAAGGCCCGGGCCGCGGACCGCTCCGTGGCCTGTTCGGAACGGGGCCGCACTGCAGCAGCAGCAGCAGGCGAGCGGCGAGTCCACGCGTGGCCCCCTGCCCCCATTGTTGTATTATTCACCACTTCCATCCGCGACTCATTCCCGCACTGCGCACTTGTTCTCAGTCACAGTTTTGGTAAGCCCACAAGCTCTAGCCCCTAGTAGCCAAAATGAGTAAAAAAACAAACGTCGCTGGAGAGCTTCTTTGAAAAGGGAAGGGGGGAAAGACCCAATGATGAACCCCCCCCCCCCCTGGTCCGTGAAAAAACTGTCTTCCACAAAACCGGTCCCTGGTGCTAAAAAGCTTGGGGAGCGCTGCTCTAATACATGCCATGACAGAACACTGTTTCATTAACTTTCAGTTATATCAGTTATTTTCAAGTAAAAGCATGACTTGAATTACTTAATTTTACATAGTTGACAATCATATTATTCCGTATATAAAAAGTGATAAAAAATTTCATTATATCAACATCATTCTGTCAATTAGGCTGCTAACGCAATCACAGCTCCCAAAGAGCATCATAAAAACTACACATCCACACCCATCTCTACAGAGTGACAGAATGTCTCCGAGATTCTTTGGTGTCTCACACATTGGCAACGCACCCCGGCCACGTCTGGCACTGCAAGAGGCCCCCTGCAGTGTCCCACGTGACTGAGCGCGACGCTACAACTAGAAGCACGACATTGTTGCCACAGTGACAATATTCCCCTCCAGCACACAATTAGTGCAGCCAAGTTGACGACTGCACCGATGGATCCTTTGCGGCCCCCCGCCGTGACTGGTCTCATATCCAGATATCGCGCTTACTCTCAGACACAGTGCAGGAAGAAGAACACACGTTGGGTTCGCTAAACTTTGACACCCGCTCCTGTTTTTCCCGGTATTTTCCTCTTCTGGAGACAGCTGCTGCTCTCCTGGGAAATCTCTAAGTCTTCCCGGGGAAATAAATATAATACAAAAAATAATAATACACCACTCAGGACCATGGGCAGTGTTTATTATTCTGCTAATGATCTGGCCAGGCGGCACAGTGGTGCGGTGAGTGGCTCGTAATTGGAAGGTCGCGAGTTCACATCCTGGGTGGGGGGGAGGGGGGGGAGCAGTCGATTCAGCCCATCATCCCTCTGTGGCTGATTAAATGAGTACCACTTTTGTGGGGAAGTCAACAGTGGTTGTTCTATGGATGGACTCACACTCGTCATATGAATGTGGAATTTCCACCACCGGCCCAGGACCGTAAATGGGAGACGAACTCCGCGTGGATGCTCGCTGGAGCCGCCGGAGACCGCAGTGACGAGACGGCGCGGGCCACTCTCCCGCCCGCCAGCGTGGCGCGACACTCGCTCGTCCACGCGCGGCGCTTGCGCTCACATTGCATGGTGACGTTGTGCGTGTCCAGGAAGGAGACCGGCTCGTCCATGAGCGTGAGGCTCGGCTCGGGGAAGCTCCGCTCCATCGTGTTCACCACCATCTGCGTCATCTCCTGCTTGCTGCGCTCCACGTTCTCCTTGCGCTTCTTCGCCAGCTTCCTGCGGCCAAAGCAAAGCAAAGCAAAATGAAACAAGGGGGGGAGGTTGCGGTCTCCTGTGCGCTCGGTGCGTCGCGTGTGCTGGCACAGTTCTGTCATTGTGTCTGGCTGTGCGCGCGCGTGTGAATGTGTGCGTGTGAAGGAGTAATGATGGCGCACCGTGCCAGACATCGTAGGTGCCCGCTAACAGCACTTGCCCTGTTAGCCTGTGTTGGCTATACAGAGGATCTTTGCCTTCGTGGGGTAACTGTATGATGTGTATGAAATAATAACAGTTTATGGCTCTTTCCAGTGAATCCACTGCTGGATGAAGGTCTTCCCACGCTGTGAAAGTTAAACGGGTTGCTTGACCACACTTCACCATGCTGATTAGTGTGGGTTGGTGAACCAGAGGGTCCCGGACGAGTTCAAATATCACAGGTATTGAATTCGGGTTGCTGAGTTGGTAGATCAACGCGCTAACCACTACGCCACCACTCCTCCCCACCACGTGAGCTTACACGTGTGAGAGCAAGCGCCACATGAGCCATCACCAAACGCTACACAATTGCATATGAATGATCGCACGGTGGGGCGCACGAGCGTGTGTCTGTGTGCGTACGTACGTGTCCGTGTGCGTACGAGCGTGTGTGCATGTGTACGCACGGAAGCGTGCGAGACGATGCCGCTACCGAACGCGCAGCGGCACAGGCGACGCTGCATGCCGCACGGAAACCCCACGCCCCAAATAAAGGCCTACCCGAATCTTTAATGCTCAGCCCTTTCTGCCTGGTCGTGCTCATTAACATGACAATTAGGGCACACAAACAGTAAATCTCCCCCCCACTCCCCAATGCTTGAGAACGTTGTTTTCGCTTTGTGAGCTCACAGGCCTCTGTGGCGTGAGTTGGCACCAGCACCGGAGCCGCTTGGAGGGATGGAGTCCTTTAAACAAAATGGCCGTGGCAGCCCAGTCACCAATCACGGCACAACAAATCCCATCGCGTCTTATTTCGTTCTCGTTTAATCTGGATAAAATCCCACTCTGAAAATTAAAAATATCAGTTTGGTCACTATGAGACGAACATTTATCTGCTGCGGAATATACTGTCCCGTAGTGTGTGGGTAAAAAGGCCATTTGATGGAATTTCAGACGCAGTAATGTGTTAAATTACTTTTGTGGGCCGTCCTCTAAGAAGGGGCTGCTCTGTGCGAGTTCCGATGAGACGTAAGAAAAATCTTGCAACGAACGTGAAAGGAGACGAATGCTCGGAGCTAAACGGCTACGTTGGGGCGGCACTCCGGTGGCCTCGCCCCTCGGGGCACGAAGCCGCTCCAACGACGAGATAAAAAACACAAACGCCGCGTTACGACTTGAATTATTCCCTTCGCCAACGCCCACGCGGGCGGCGGACTGTATCGGGGGAATGCGATGACGTGGAGACGGAGCCACTGAGACGCGTGGGAATGCCGGGGCCAAGCGAGCGACACCGTCCCCACAGGGAGATGCGTAGGGAATGTTAAAGCCGTGCGGGAGAGGCTCCCCGGGAGAGGGAGAGTGGCGGTCGCGTACGTGCGGTGGAGCCGCGTGGAATGGAGGGACCCGCGGAGAGAAGGATGGAGGGATGGATGAGGGTGAGGAGGTCACGTGTGTCGCGGGTGGTAATTAAGCAGATACGTTATGTGACTTTATTGCTACTTACAAGTAATAGGAGTATGAATGGGAGCTCCTCCTGCCAAGCATAAGAAGGTGATTTGTTATGTTAATGAGATTTGTTTTAGGATATAGCGGCCAAAACAATGTATAATTCAGCCAGAGAAAAAAAATTCATATAACGTTTAAAAACTAATATTTTGTTTTACTTCTTATTAAAAAATATGTTTTATTTTACATAACCACAGCTTTGACTGTCCCATAATGCAGTTCATTCTAGAAGAGCGATTGTTTAATATGTTGTCCATTTTGAATAAAAGCCACATGTCTTGACGAAAAATTCGACTTGCACAATTTTGTTAGTGCATTTTTTTTAAAAAAAACCTCAGCATGTCGATATTTATACACGTGTAAATATAACATTGACATCTACAAAGATCCACCGTCTTATCTTCGACAAGGCAGCACCGGCGAGTGCACAGATGAGGGGCAAATGGAGAGTAAGACCTCTAAGGAGGCGACGCGCGTTAAACGCGTTAAGCGTGCGGGGGGCATCCCAGCCCCCCCGGCAGGCAGCCACGCACGGAGCACGTGATGAGCTGTGCTCGTGACCGCACGGCCCGGCCAGCCGCCAGGGCCTCGTGCAGCAGCAGTGCGTCAGCGGGCCACCCACTGGCCGGCTATCGCAGACCCAACCGCTGTTCGAGGGATAAGTACATTCTATGACTCTTGTTTATTTAACCAGGAAAACCACACTGAACCCAGATGACCCTTTATCAGGAGGGTACTGCGGATGTTTGGCCAAAACCAGTTGCATTGTATGTTTTTTTAGCTATGGAAGGAAACCCATGCAGAACATGAGGAAGAACATAGAAACTCCGCACAGGAAGACACTGGAGTCATAATGTGAACCAAAGCCCTTCTAGCCGTGAGGCACGAGTGTTGCTGCGCACCACCCTGCCACCCCCTACATGCAAGCCGGTCACTCACTGCCGGTAATGTGCCGCGTGGCTCTCTCCGGTGAGCTTAATGGTGGTGCCTTGTGTTGGTTGATGTGATGTCCGACGTTTCGCATCATGCACCGGGAGCTTTAAGAGAAACTGTCTATTTTAGAAGCGTCCTGCAATGGGACAATTGGCCAATTCCACTAACGAGTGTTTGTCTTTGTGTGGGAGGAAGCTAAAATACCCAGAGAAAACCCACCACGGACACGAGATGTGCAGATAATTGGATTTGAGGACCCCTTGCTGTTCTGCCATCTCATAGCGCCGCAAGCCTACGGAACCTGGTAATCTCAGGCAGTGGGTCATACCAGTCATACAACCAACCCAGCCGAACTCTGCTCCTTCGGGAAATTATTTTGGAGCGAAACGTCAGGCATAGTGCCGAAGAACACACGGCAGGATCGCGCGAAACACCACACGGAGAGCCGTGGCACGAGTGCGACAACTGGCCGACATCGGCGCTCGTGTGGCCACCGTGACCCCGCAGGGTTCATGTGGTTAGCACGGTGCCCAAAGGGGGGCTGCACCAATCGCTGGCCAAGCGCTCATGCCGGGATTTGTCTGGGGGACGGCAGGAGGAATGTATGAATATATAAATTAAATAAATATATAATTCGCCGATAATTGAACTAATTTATAATGGCCTGATCGATAACGATCTGGATTAAGAGCTGATTGATTATTAATAATGTTATCAATTATGCAGCCAATTAAAAATTAACTGACTATTCACGGTCCGATTGAACGCAGGTAGCACGGGAGGCAGTCTTGATATTTCACGCCGAGCCGGCCCAGTGGATTCCTGGGGGGATCAATGAACCCTGGGTGGGGGGGGGGCCCGATCGAGTCTGAGGGGGGCCAACAGAGCCCCTTCCGATTCAGTGTAATGCGCATGGGGGCACTCATGCGGGGCAGGGCTCTCTGAGGGGAGCGCACATGGGGGTGGTACGCAAGTGTACACGGGCGTGTGTGTGTACAAGTGTGAGCAAAAATAGTGCACGGGTGTGTGGGTAAACATGTGTGTCAGTGTGGGTGAGCGAGTGCATGAGTGAGTGCACGAGAGAGACGTTTTTAGTGAATGAGTAGCTGTGTTTGTAAATTAGAGACAGTGAGTGAATGATTGGGTCCTTTAGTGGCTGAATGAGTGAGTGGCTGAGTGAATGGATGAGAAGATGAGTAAATTAGAGGATGAGTGAGTGAGCGAGTGAATGAGCAAGCAAGTGAGCGAGCAAACGGGCGTGCGGGGCGTGCGGGCGTGCGAGCGTGCGGGCGAGGAATGTGTTCGGCACCGGCGCTTGATGTAGAGGATGGCGCCCATGAGGAGGATGAGCACGGCGAGGATGCCGGCGATAACGCCCGCGACACGCATCGTGTGGTCGCTGTGCAGCTCTGCGTTGGGCACGTCCTCCGCATTCGGCACCTCCAGCTTGTGCACCCCTGAATGGCAGCGGCAGCAGCAGTCAGCGCTCGTGTCAGGCTAAGTGCACTATGAGGCCACGCAAATTGCCAAAGGGCTGGTCACAGGACCGGCCCAGGCGTCATGGGTTAGCTGACTTTAATGACCGGCAGATGGTTGAAAGAAAAAGTGCACAAGACGGTGGTGAAGTCGGTGCTGTTGTATGGGGCCGCGTCCTGGGGCACGAGAAAGAGGGAGGACCACGCTATGGTAGTCACAGAGATGAGGATGTTGCGGTGGATGTTGGGTTTAACAAGGAAGGACAGGGTCAGAAATTAAGAAGTGAGAGGAAGACTCAAGGTGGTAGAAATGACAGAGAAGATGAGAGATAAAAAGCTGGTGTGGTTCCGTTATGTTGAGACACAACAGGAAAATTATGTGGGTCAGAAGATGCAAGTGATGCAAGTGAAAAGAAAGAGATCAAGAGGAAGGCGTAGGGAGATGTATTGGGGGCATGTGGTGCGATCGGACATGGCGGCCCACGGAGCGAAAGGAGAGATGGAGACGGTTGGCAAGGCCAGCAGACCCCGCGTGAGAGGGACACGAGCGTGGAAGATGGAAGATGTTAGCGAGCACCTATTTTATACACAAAGACAAAGATCCCCCGTATAGCACACACACAGACACGCACACTCACGTGCACGCAAACATTTACATGTAAAGGTTCCAGCAGAGTGAGTGAATGACTATCAAGGTAGGGGACGCCACCATATGGGAGGACAATAGCTCACCCATGTTTCCATTACTTTAGCAGCATCGCAACTAATTAAAACAAAAAAATCGTATTTCTCAGGGCCCGCGGATTGGAGCTGTGACTAAAGCAATGTGTCGTTTAATTTCACAGACCCATTTTAATTATCTTCAAATCGCAGAGTAAAACTTGCTGAGGTGGCCGGGTTGGGTGGCTGGTTTCGCTGACGAGGCCTCACGGCTGCAGGCCATGGGTAATGCGCGCTGTCGTGGAACACACCCCCCACACCCCCCACACACCGCGACACACCCCCACACACCTTCACACTGTGACACACACCCACACACCGCGACACACACCCACACACCGTGACACCGCGACACACCCCCACACACCCACACACTGTGACACACACCCACACACCGCGACACACCCCCACACACCACGACACGCACCCACACACCGCGACACACACCCTCACACCGCGACACACACCCTCACACCGCGACACACACCCACACACCACGACACACACCCACACACCGCCACACACACCCACACACCGCGACACACACCCACACACCGCGACACACACCCACACACCGCGACACACACCCACACACCGCGACACACACCCACACACCGCGACACACACCCACACACCGCGACACACACCCACACACCGCGACACACACCCACACACCGCGACACACACCCACACACCGCGACACACACCCACACACCGCGACACACACCCACACACCGCGACACACCCTCACACCGTGACACACACCCACACACCGCGACACACACCCACACACCGCGACACACACCCACACACCGCGACACACACCCACACACCGCGACACACACCCACACACCGCGACACACACCCACACACCCTCACACCGTGACACACACCCACGTAACAGCACAACACTTATGGAATTCGCATGCATGACTGTCTCAGTGGACGATCAGTCGTTTCAACACCGGCTACCCATCGACTTGCCATCATACTCCCCTACCTGGCTACATGACAACCAACTTACCCACCTACTTACCAACATTCACATAAAGTTAGAATGCCTACTTAATACCAATATATATCTACAAACCTACCGACATCTAAATACCCAACTCCTAGCAAACGCGCAAGAATTACGTCAAGCTTAACAAATAGCGTTCCTGGCTCAATGCTCTCAAACTGTCGTGAACAACGTTCATCTGGACGTGTGAAACATTGCCGTAGCGGATGTAGAGTTTTAAATTTTAATTACAAAGGGAAATAAATAATGAAAGTGTCCACCAGTCGGCGGGCGCCGCTCGCCTCGCATGACCCCAGCGCCGCGTTCATCACGCGCGGTGCCTCAAAGCAGCCTCGCCGTGCTCCACACACACACGTACACACACACACGTACACACACACACGTACACACACACGTACAACAACCGCCATTCGCCACTAAGTGGCGGTGACGTCACCACGACACTTGTGCCAGGCCATGTGCACCTTGAGGCCACGTGAAGTGTCGAACGCCCGCTGGCAGGAGGTCACGGGTTAGACCCAGTTGCCACGGGTCGACTGACCGAGATGACCGAGATGACTGGCTGATGCACCACCTGTGCCCCCTACTGTACCAACTTGCTGTGCTTTAGCCACCCGGTGCTCCGCTCGTTGTTGTGAGCGTCGCTCCTCCGCCCTCCGTTGTTGTTGGAGGGCGACTGCCTCCAACTGCCCAGTAGCGTCCTTCACGAGCCTCCTCCACAGAGGCCGATCTTAATACCGCTGGTACCAGTCATCGGCAAGTCCACTCAGCTCCACGTCCTCCTGTACCACATCACTCCATCTCTTCTTTAGCCTGTGCCGCGCCCGTTTAGCCCCCTCGATCTGGCCGAACAAAAGCTGTTTAGGCATGCGGTGGCTGGGCATGCGGGCTACATGACCCAGCCAACGCAGCTTTGCCTGCCGGAGGAGCTCACCGATGGGACTTTGCCCAGATCTTTCAAGGATTTGTGAGCTCATCACACAATACAGCCTGGTTAAACCCAGGATGGATCGTAGGCAGGCCAGCCTAAATGTTTCCAACCAGCGAAGATGCTCCATTAGGGGGGTCCACGTTTCGCAAGTGTAGAGAAGGGAGAAAATGACCGTGGCCGAGAAGACCTGAAGCTTCGTGTGGAGCGACAGACCAGGTAGCTTCCACACAGCGTTACGCAACCGATGAAAAGATATTGCCGCTCGACTGATTCGGAGTGAGACCTCTGCGGTTAAACTGGAGCCGGTCATAAGCACACTGCCCAGGTATGGGAAACTCTCCACTCTCTCCACAACTGCCCCATCACCGATTGGAAGTTATGGGGGTGGAGTGTCCGATGGTACAAAATACCCAGGCAGGTGCTTAGTTTTGGTGGGGCTGATGGTAAGGCCCCACCTCTTAGTGGCACGCTCCAGTCTCAGCAGCAGCGTCTCCAACTCGTCTTCTGAATGAGCAGCTATTACCAAATCATCGGCATACATAACGTGGTAGACCAATAGGGAGCCATCCCTTGATCGCACCCGGGCGTCAATCAGCCTCCCATTATATCTGTACCAGATGGAAATTCCCCTGGTACAGCTATTGAAGGCTTCACGAACTACGCGGTCAAAATAGATGTTAAATAATGTGGGAGCCAGAGGACATCCCTGTCGCACCCCAAGGTGTACAGGGAAAGGCTCTGACTCCCGGCCACGTAGTTTTACCTGGGCCCGCTCACCATCATGAAGGTCCTTAATGATCGTGAGCAGAGGGTCAGGGACTCCGGAAGCACGAAGAATAACCCAGAGCCCAGGCCTACTGATGGTACCATAGGCCTTGACCAGGTCAATAAAGCAGAGATGTAGGTCTTGTTGGAATTCCCTACACCTCTGCTGTAGCAGACAGACAGAAAATATGGCATCTGTGCAGGACCGCCCTTTCCTAAAACCGCATTGGGGTTCCGCAAGCCTCTCCTCAGCGTGCCTAGCAAGGCGATGTTGAATAATCCTTGCCAGGACCTTTCCCGGCACACTGAGGAGTGAAATGCCCCTGTAGTTGTTACAGTCTGTGCGGTCCCCTTTCTTAAAGAGGGGGACCACCAGGGCATCCTTCCAATCCTGCGGAACCCATCCAGTGGTGCAGACTGTTGTTATGATGTCATATAGGGTAGTCTGTGCACAAACGCCACCCTCCCTCAGCATTTCGCTTCGGAGATCATCTCTGCCCGGTGCCTTTCCTGGTCTCAGACTCCGGATCGCCTTCAGTACTTCCTCAACAGATGGCACCTCAGCCAGCCACTCACAGGGGGTGACCTCTTCCAATATTTGAAGCACCGCAGCCTCTGCAGGGTTATCCCCACTTTGTGCCATGATGTTTTCCTGGCTGAGAGATTTCCCCTCCCCCAGGACCTCACAGAAATGCTCAGCAAATCTGCAAACCTGTTCCTGGGGGTCGGAGATTGGATCACCGTTTTTTCCCCTAATGATGGTAATAGGTGTGGCGCTGCAGGTTACTTTTTTGATGGAGTTAAATAGTGATTTGTGATCGCGGGCCACTGAGGCAGACTCCATCTCCTCAGCAACCCGCGACCACCACTCATCCTTGCAGCGCCTTACGGGTCTCCGAACCTCTGAGCGAAGGCTGCGGTAAACCTCCTCATTCTCTGACGTGGGATGCTGTAGCCGATGAGAGTAGGCCTGTCGCTTTTTCTCAACTAACCTGAACACCTCCTCTGTCAGCCAGGGTTTCTGGGGAGGTCTGGACCGCGTACCCAAAGCAGCCATTGCAGCTGCACGAGTCAGTCCTAAACCTCGCCCATTTACCCTCGACATCAGGAGGAGTGGGGGACGATGCCAACCCCAGCTGCAAGCGATGATGAAATTCTCGCTTGAAACTTTCATCAGCTGAGACCAGGCCACTTTTGGTTGGAATGGGGTCCTGGGTGTACACCCACCACTGGAGTGGAAGAATGGCAGGCGCATCTTACAGATGACTAGTCGATGGTCAGAGGGCAGATCAGCTCCACGGTAGGTTCTGGTGTCAAGGACATGGGCTCGCATCCGCTGGTCCGTCACTATGTAGTCCAGCAGATGTTCTTGCTTGGACCCGGCATGCATCCATGATGTTGTGTGGATGCGCCGATGCCGGAAGAGCGTGTTGGTAATTACAAGTCCATGGGCTCGGGCATTGAAGTCACCCAACAAGATGACTGTCCCGAGTGGCCACTTTAGCCAGCACCTGTGACAGGAGGTCATAGAAGGCATCTGACTCA